ATTCTTGCTCTTTTTCTTTCTTGTAGATTAATTTATTCTCATGCACCAACAAAGAGCTTTATAATTCATCGATTGTATGTACATCAATATCCTTAAATTATTCCATAGAACAAACAACAAAATTAAATTTTGGTGTCATGGATCAAAGAATCTTCTCAACAATGATAACATCCTCCTTTTTATAACCATCAATCCACAGCTCATTGACAATTGCCATTGTCTATGAAAATAATCAATAATCAACTCTCTTGATTTCATTCAAAGCATTTTGAACTCTAAATAAAGTGTTTGTAGTTGTCGTTGTTTTGCCCTTACTAATTCCCGGTACTTCGCTTCATTGAATTTCAAATATGTTTGGTACGATCCTTGCAAAGAATGATTTCCAAGTTTGAATGATCAATAGCTTGGAAGAGATAACTCTTTGCTTTGAGATCCTTCAAACTTTTGTCTTTTAGTTTCGCGTTTTGCACATCAATCACCATTGTTCTAGATGTTGGTTTTGTAATTCCATCAAAGACTACTTGCCGAGTACTCTTTAAAACTTAAAAAATCTTTATCGGCGTGCTATAATGGTAATGTGACAATCAAAGTGAGAAATTACATATTGTACAAAACTTTTAGAGGCTATAAGTGTTTGTTGTTCGTTACTGCTATAAGAAAAACAAAGTTGATGCTATGTTTACTCGTCGCTACAAGAATAAAGGAAACAAGACTCGTTGCTATACTCCTTTCTATCCCACAAACTCTCTCTTTGAATTCTCTCTACACTTGTGTTTCACTCACTCTCACACTTTTATACCTAGCTTTAATACAACCGTTACAAAATAGAGACTACTTAAAACAAATGAGAGTTGAATGAATTTTGCTACCTCATTCATTGATTAACCAATAACTTTTAAATAGGCATTGCATTAATAGTAAAATGCAAAATAATAACAACTAACTTGAATGAATAGAAATTACAATATAACTAAAAGAAGTGAGGCAAATGAATAGTAAAACACTATTGGTTCACTCGTTCATTTGCCTTAATTCACTATTCATTATATGGCATTTTTGTAATTTTTGCAATGGAATTTTCATAATTTTTTATAGCTTTTTGGACTTTCATTTTTAAATTTTACATTTCATTCCTTTTTGATCCCTTATGTTTTCAAAATGTATTTTTAAATCCTTACATTTTAAAAAATATTTTGACATCTCATGTTTTTGACTTAATCCTTTTTTTTAACGTTTTTTCAAAATATATTTTTTGTTTATCATATTTTTAAAAGATGGTTTTGGCTTCTTATGTTTTTAAATTTTAGAATAAACATATATATATCCGATTATATTTTTTATTGATTAAAACTAATCTCTAAAATTTGTCGTTTATTACAAAAATTCTCATCAAATTAAATTTTTAATTTTTTATAAAATTTTATTTATTAATAAATATAATTTATCTTTCTCTCGTGTATGAATTTTTAATATATTTTTTAAATAAATAATAAAATTTACATGTTTCTTTAACTTATTCTTGATATAATCAATTTTTTTGAATAAAATTTTAATTATTTTAATTATATTCTATTAATTTTAATATATTTCTTACAACTTAAGTTTTTTTGAATGTATTTTTTAATTTATACGAGAGATGGTAATAATGTATACAAAAAAAATATTGAGATAATTGATTTTATTAAAAATTAATTTTGCATTTACACACATAACACCAACTATTTCCTATTATTTATTTTTAATATTTTAAATTAAATTTATTTTAAATAAAATAATATTTTAAAGAATCCACCTAATAATTCAAATACACGTTTTTATACCTAATATTATAGATTGTTTTGTGCATGTGTGTGTCTATATATCAAATGTGCATATTTTTAAAAAGTTTTAAAAAATTCATCAGTTAATTTTTATATGAATTTTTATATATTGCTAATATATTTCTCCGATATAGCCTTATCAAAAAAATATTAAGATATTTTTAAAAATTTTATATTTATATTATCGTAGGTTTTTATTTAAAAATGAGTGAATAGAAAAAAAAAGAACTGTGTTTTTTTAATAACAAAATCTATGAAAAACATAAAGAAGCACGAATGAAATATAAAATTTGATTAAAAATTATGAAATTAAATAAGAATTTTATCTTTTATTTTTAATTTAATATATATTAGTAGAAAAAAATTAAAAGAACTCGAGATACTTACTATTTATTTACTATTTTTTAAAACTTAGATTCACTATTCATTATATTGCTTGATTTCCGTCCCCACCTTTTCGTTAATTTCTTTTTTGACACTCGATGGATTTGAGAAAATTCATTTTTCCTTTGACTATCTTTTAAATTTTATTTTTGGGCCTTTTTCATTATTTTCTTCTTCTTTTTTTTTTTTCGGATTGAGCATTTAATGCTCCTGTCTTCTTTTAATTTTTTTTTCAATAGGGAAGCCAAAGTCACTTGCTATTCAAGAGTGAGTATAAATCAGTCCCTCTTTCTTCAAGAAACAAATTAATTACTCCCTCCGGTTCAAAAACATTTTTTTTCCCTTTTTGCTATTTCAATTTTTTTTTTAAATAGAGAAAGAATAAAAAAATAAGTAAAAATATAAAAAAGAAGACATTTTATAAAATAAAAGATAAATTATTCATAGTCAACAATGATTAAAAAATTAAAAATTTTATTTTTGAAACAAAAGAATTAATTAATTCATTTCTCAAAACGAGATGAACGAATTTATAATTTAATTTGCAGTTCAAGAATCTCTTTTATCATGGATTAAGAAGTAAAATTTATAGAAACTAATTTTGTAGTAGTTTTTATTTCAATTTATTGATTTTAATATATTCCATACAACTTATATATTTTTTTTAATGTGTGTGTGTGTGTATCAATCATTAGTTTTATTGGAAATTAATTATTTATCTACTTACGTAACACCATTAGCCCTTCTTATTTAAAAACTATTTTTTTTGTCTCGTTTTGTTATTTCAATGTTTTTATTAATTTTTTTAAGAAATAAAGAAAAAAATGGAAAAAGGTATTTTTTAATAAAAATAAATTATTCATGGTCAACACTAATTAAAAAATTAAAAATTTTCATATCAAAATAATTAATTCTTTTTTTTTTTTTTCAAAATGAGAAGAACTAATCTATAATTTAATTTGCAATTCAATAATCTCTTTTATCATAAATTAAGAAATAAAATTTATGAAAACCAATTTTGTAATAGTTTTTATTTTAATTTATTAGCTTTAATATATTCCATATAACTTAGATAGTTATATATATATATTTACATATATCATTAGTTTTGTTGAAAATTAATTATATATCTTAATACATAACACCATTAGTCCCTTCGGTTCAAAAACTTTTTTTTTATCCTCTTTGCTATTTCAATGGTTTTATTTTTTGTTTTAAGAAGTAGAGAAAGAAAAAAAATAAGTAAAAATATGAGAAATTTGCTTAACTAAATAATAAATTATTCGTGGTAAACACCGATTAAAAAAATTAAATAATTTATTTTTAAAACCAAAATAATTAATTAATTAATTTTCCAAAACGAGATGAACCAATTTATAATTTAATTTACAATTCAAGAATCTCTTTCATCATAAATCAATAAGTAAAATTTATGAAAACCAATTTTTTAATGGTGTTTATTTCAATTTATTGACCTTTGCAATGGTTTTGTTGGAAATTAATTATGTATCCGCATACATAACACTAATTATTTGTTATTTATTTTTTTATGTTTTAAACTCAATATTTTTAAAATAAAATAATTAAAATATATATCATTAGTTTTATTAAAAATTAATTATGTATCCGCACAAATAACATCAATCATTTGTTATTTATTCTTTTTTATGTTCTAAAATCAATATTTTTTAAATAAAATAATTGAAATAATGTTTTAAAAGAACATTTCAATTATTCAAATACAACTTTTATGCTAATATTATTGATTTTTTTGTTAATAAATATATATAAATCAAATGATTTTGCTTAGCAAATAAATTTGATTTATATTGGTTACGAGAAATAAAATTTTTATCCGTATTATATCTTAAGAATTGTTGACCTTACGTATATAACGATTTTTCGATCGCAGCATAGCACGGGTATCTAACTAATTGTTCTTAAAAATCTTGATATATCAGTATATCAGGTAATAAACTCTTAAAAATTAGCATAAATCTAAAAACATTCTAAGTTTTATTTAACTGCCATATTAGGTGATGATGGTGATTTGCTTGTTCTGTTTATAATTTGGTGGACCCAAATTTTATGGGAAAGTCTTTGTAAGCCCGTGACCGACCGCATCCCGTGCAGTTGGCCCATGTGAGTACAAAAATCTTTTATCATCATCATTCATCATTAGATGGGACCCTGACTCTCTCTCAAGGGTTGTGGATTCACGAGCTGCCCTTAGGTCCACCTTCCATTTCCAGACTGCCTTCATTTTTTCACTTAAACACTCAGCCAAGGACGTTAATCAAAGAGCAAGCAAGACGTACCTCCTCCTAGCTAGTTCAATTCATAGGAGCGTTATAGCTTATCTGTCTGCAACCCAAGATCCATCAGTTTTTTTGTAGCGTTCTGTGCATTTAAAGAGAATTAAAAAAGAATACAACCCTTCATTTGTTTATTTATATTCATAAAGCTATGTAGTTTGCCTCAAAGTTGGACTTCTTTATATTATCCACGTCTTGACACATTCTGATTATTTTGCGGTCTATGATCAATACATTCTTCTTCAAATGCCCCCAGATGGACCCCAGATCATGTTGTTTGATGAGATGCCAGCATATAAGCCAAAGATATGTCCTACCTGGACTAACCAGTTATCACATTGCAATAATTACGAGGATGTTTCAGTAATTTAAACCCTCTTTCAGTCTTGCTGCATATATATATATATATCACTTCCCATGCACACATAGCAACAACAACAATCTTACCTTATCTACTATTATTTCTGTCCAGAGTCCACATATGGTCATGGACTTCAGTCATAGTGGTACTGCCTTCTTTTTGTTCACCCTTCTAATCTCTTCTACTAAAGCTACAGATCCTTGTGCCACTCAATCAGACAACTCTGATCTCTCAATCATTCCCATCTATAGCAAATGCTCACCTTTCGTTCCACCCAAGCAAGACTCATGGGTCAACACAGTCATCACCATGGCCTCAAAAGACCTAGAAAGGCTCAAATATTTATCAACAATTGCAGCCCAAAAGACCACTTCAGTCCCAATTGCACCAGGCCAGCAGGTTCTAAACTCTGCTAACTATGTGGTCCGGGTCAAATTGGGTACCCCGGGTCAACAAATGTTTATGGTCCTTGACACTAGTAATGACAATGCATGGGTACCCTGCTCAGGGTGCACCGGCTGCTCCACCACCACATTCTCACCCAATGCCTCTACGACTCTTGGGTCATTGGACTGTTCCGCAGCCCAATGCAGCCAAGTCCGTGGATTTGCATGCCCAGCTTCCGGGTCTTCCACGTGCCTTTTCAACCAATCCTACGGCGGAGATTCCTCCTTATCAGCTGCTCTAGTGCAAGATGCAATAACATTAGGCAAGGATGTAATTCCAGGTTTTACTTTTGGTTGCATTAACTCCATCTCTGGCAAGTCAATACCACCCCAAGGGTTATTGGGTCTGGGCCGTGGATCCATGTCGTTAATTTCTCAAGCCGGGGCAATCTACTCCGGTGTATTCTCATATTGTTTACCCAGTTTCAAGAGCTACTACTTCTCGGGATCTCTCAAACTGGGCCCTATTGGTCAACCCAAGTCCATTAGAACCACCCCGCTTCTACGGAGCCCACACCGTCCATCATTATACTATGTTAACCTAACCGGAGTTAGCGTGGGCCGGGTCAAAGTACCAATTTCTCCAGAGCAACTTATATTTGACCCAAACACCGGAGCAGGGACCATAATCGACTCAGGTACTGTCATAACGCGATTCGTTCAACCCGTTTACACTGCCATCCGCGATGAGTTTAGAATGCAAGTGAAAGGCCCATTTTCAAGTCTAGGGGCCTTCGACACGTGTTTCGCTGCAACAAATGAAGCAGTAGCTCCTGCAATAACACTACACTTCACGGGCTTGAACTTGGTCCTGCCCATGGAGAACAGCTTGATACATAGCAGTGCTGGGTCATTAGCATGCTTGTCTATGGCTGCAACACCAAATAATGTGAATTCAGTGTTGAATGTTATAGCCAATTTGCAGCAGCAGAACCTTAGGATTATGTTTGACACGATCAATTCTCATTTGGGAATTGCTCGTGAGCTATGTAACTAGCTAGATTTCAGTTGTTTTTTCCTAGCTAGTTAGTGTTTGCCGCGTCATGTTAATTTTCTTGCAAAATAGGGTGTGCCTAATAATTAAACAGGACAAGTCCTGTTGTCATAGAAGTTGTGCTGTATCATTTTTTTTTTTTTTTGGTTAATTATGAAAACAAAATGAGAGTGGTAATTGTATTGATGATATGCATTAGAATTTATGCTATGGCATTTTGGAGAAGTCTGCTTTCAAACCCAAAGCCTTCCAACTGTTTTGAAACTCCCCACCACAATCCCATAATTGATCAAATCTTCAATCACATGAAATAATTTACTGTAAGCTCATAACACCCTCATGAGTTTTGATATTAACATCAAACGCACAAATTACGACATGAAACAAATTAAAACAGAGAATAGTACATGAATTGCCGAATGAATGTCAATTGTTATGTAGTCTCTTTTTTTCGCTCCAGTTCGTCGATCAACCCCACCACTGGTGCACTGCAACACCCTCGTCCCTTAACTTTCCATACAATGCTAAACACTCCCAATAGGCCTTTTTGCTGCCATTCCCGTTCCTTCGTGGCTTGCACTCCAAAAAAAGCTCATCCACTAGCCTTATTGCCTTGCTTTTCACCATCTCCTCCACCACTTCCGCCTCTGCCTTCATCACCACATACTCTTCCCCTTTCACATTAATTTTCAACCAATCTGAGATCCCAACCTCTTCTACCTGAGGTACCTTCTTCCCTGACGATTCTTCAGTCACTGTCTCAATCTTGTACATTTCGAAATCAAGATTTCTTGTAGGATAATTCTTAGCAAACCATCCAGTACCACTTCCACCTTCTTTCTCTGGCAACCCCACATCAATGAACACACGACGAGGATAGCTTTCCAGCGAATCGCCCATTAAGTCTGGCAGATATCTTGTCTTTTTCAGGTATCTGCTTGACTTACCCGATGCTGATCGCGGGGGTTCTAGGAGAACATCTTCCAGGTTCTCTAGTGCTGCTTTCTTTGCCTCGGTGGCATGATCATATCCTAGAAGCCGCCTCTGAGTGCTCAAAGTAGCATCCTCATATCCTGTTTTCCTCATGGCCAAAATATTAGTGGCCTGAAATCTCCTGAGATAAACTATTTTGTAATTGGAAGGCTTGTCGAATGCAGAGGAAGGATTATTGCTTAGTTGAACAACGGCAATGCCACCAACTTTGAGAGTCCGATCAATGAATTCTGAGGAAGTATGGAAGTCATCAAAGGTGAAGGAAAAGTCGAATGATTCACCAGGAATTGAGCTTTGTCCATCCAGATTAGTGGCAGAAATGGTTAGTGCATCATTGGCATTGAGGATCTCAGAAACGCGAGTGGCGTTATCAATGCCACTGCCAAGAAAAACTGCATTGTTCCCTGTTTTAAGTAGGCCTTCGTTTGCTAAATCGTGGATAAGTAAAGGCAAGAACTTAGCATCGATTAAATCGGGATCAGGTTCAGGCTCAGGAATAGGTGATACAGAGGATGGAGAAGCATCAGAAAGTGTTCTCAACAAGAGGAATGTGGCAAAGATCAACGCCAAAAGCAAGGATTGTGCGAGAAGCCTCAAGACCCTAATGCTAGGGAGCTTGATGATCACGTATTTGTCGCCATACAAATCAATGTTTTTGGCATGCAAGGGTAAGTGCATGTATTTCTTGAGGTTTTTGGATTGGAATCCAGGTATAAATTGAATCGCCATAATTGCAAAAATTGATTATGGCAGAAACAATTTTTGCCAAAAAAAAGGGCTGGCGAAGTACGCTAAAAAAGTAAAGGAATGTGTGTGATTTCTACGAGAAAAGCAAGCTATAAAGCAACGGAGGAAGAAAGAAATCTAAATCAGATGTCTAATTAATAAAGGAAAATCAATACTAAAGGTATTTAATGGGGAGGGAGAGCAAGCCAAACAAAAACTTAACGAGTACAAAACCTGGCGGCGGTGTGATTCCCACCCACGAGGGCCACACGGGTACTGTGTATTCTAGACCAAAGTAATATTAACTGCCTTAACCGCTGCACCTCCATTTCTTAATTTTGCATCAGATCGATGATTTACTTCTGCCACTGATTAACCTCGTTGTCTTAACATATTAGCGACCTATTAACTGTAAATATCTTTAATCGTCGATCAAAAATATAATGGAGGGAGGGAGACAGTTTCTTTTCTTTCTTCTTTTCTTTTTGGGTAGAGGGAATTCTGGGATATGCGGTGGTAGGGATGTTTGAAAGTAGAACGAAAAGAATATAAGGGAGAAAAAAGACGTACGAAAAACGAATATGCCAGCTATGTTTTATTGGTAAAAATGGGTGGTATCACGAGAAATGAGTTTAGCCATTGCTACAGTCTTCATTTGATTCTGTTGCTATAATTTTCTTTTTCTTTTCTTTTTTGACAACCATTTTTCTTCTTCTTTTTTTTACGACCATTTATCTGATGAAGCTGGCTACAGCCTAGATGACTAGATGATCATTTCAGTTTTTGTATTAAAGTTGGAGTTGATCGATTTCTCATCAACATCTGTTTAAATACTCTTACTACATGTGTATTTTTTAATGCCGCTAGTCGTGTAACATTCGAATATTCAATAATCTTATGGTCAGATTACATAAAACATTATGCGCTATCGTTCAAAACTAATATATACTTATAATTTTTTAAAAAAAATATTTAACTCTCACGAACTTTTATATATATATAATTAATAGGTTCATTGTTTATTTTTTGAGTTGACTGCATGTGATGATATGTGATAGTCTTAAAAATAAACACGTGTCCAACTAATTATTGAAAATGAGAAGAAAAAGAGGTCATATTTTTTAACTTTTCGTTCTTAGCATTTTTTATCCGTTTCAAGCTTGTTCCTTTGATGGGTTTCTCTTTGGTCTCATTTTTTGAACTTGTTTTTTCTTTTGGCTTGTAAATCTAGTATCATCAAAGTACTTCTCTGATCAAAGGAATGGGGAACGAGGCTGCTTCAAGTTCAGTTACAAATGAGGTGTCAAAGAGACAACTCATACAAGTGCCATCTAGACCAGACCCTCTTCATCACAACAACACCCCAACTACAAAACCATGATGATGTTGATAACCTCTCTTAGAAACCCCGCTTTAATGGATCTTCCTGTTACTAAAATTGTGGGTTTCTTACAAGTTTTATATTCCTCTTCTTCCTTTTCTTTCAGGATGGTTCTTTTTGGAATATTTTGACAATTTTTTTTTCTTTTTATTACAGCAGAAAGAGCAAGGAAAATGGAAGTTTAAACATTTATTGATATTAGTAGACCCATGATCAATTAGTTTTCTTATTGATAATCTTGATGCGATTAATTGGAATTGTTGGTTTCGGTATCTTAAACGAATTGAGTATTCCCAATTTTTTAATTTAAAATTGATGCGAAGGTTAATTTGTGCTTCTGTGTTTACAGAGCAAAGAATTGTAGTTTCGGGATTGAATTTTACTTAACAACGGAGTTGGTTGGGTTCGTCGCATTGGTTTTTTTCTTGAAGAAGAAACTTTAATTTTCTTTTTCTTGGCTTTTTTCGGAAGGGTTTTCATTTCAAGAATTTGCAAAAACAATGGGTGACAGGGACAAAATATTGGGTGTCATTTTTTTTTTCCATTAAATGTTTTGCGTTTTCCTTTATTTTATTTTATTTTTAACTCACACGTCTAACTTTTTAATAAAACTAATCTATTAAGGTTTGAATCATGAACTCTTGTTACAAAAGATTATTCTCACTTACCGGCAAATTTTCCTTTACTTGGAAAACTGTTATTTAGCTTTTTCAAAATCCATTTGTTTGGCTGGAAAATCCCACGAAAAAGATCCTTGGGCCCTCGGTATTATTATGGTGAGAGATGCATGGTTCCAATTTCAAGGAACTACTGATTACAGAAAGTGTTGCATCGTTGCCTTCCTCTCTTTTCAATACATATTAACGAACTCGTTGTGATCTGATGCATGAGGAGATGATTCTGTAAAAGTTTGAGGTTTGATTGTGTATTTCCCCTTTGTTTTTCGTGTCTAAAGAATGCCAATACCAATGGGGTGTTTAATGTGTGTACAGAGTGTTTAATGTATGTATGGAGTGATCTAATTAGCTAGTGGCGTGTCAATTTATATTAAAAATAACGTATTATTTATCAAAAAATATGATATTCGAATAAACTTTTTTAAAAATTATAAATATATTTAAATTTCATCAATAATTAAGGATGTTTTTACGTAATTTAATCTAACAGAATCTCAAGTAATTGAATCGTCACACATAGAGATGGCAATGTGGCAAGGCGTGCCTCATTCGGAACAAAATTTCTCTACCATCTTCGTCTTAAACGAGACAGTGGTGAGACATGAACCCATTAGATTGCTTTTTTTAAAAGGTCAAAAGGTCATCCTCGTCTTGTCTCTTGTCTCGTTTGGAGCATATTTTAGGTATCATTTTCGATCCAAACAAAATGAAATCCCATCGAAACGGATCAGATTACCATCCCTAGCCATACATTCACAGTTAATTCGTGAATTTATGTAATCCAATCTAGCTATGCCTTTTAGGATATCTCTTTTAGCTGTCATAAATTAATTTATTGATAGCTAGCAGCATAACTGGGCATTTGGAATGCTAAGATTTGGTAGAATTGATTTCATTTCATCTTATTTTAATCAATTCATGTGTTTGGAACCAACAACCAATTGCAGAATTGATTTCAGTGATCTAAGAATTTGCAGAATTTCATGCAGCTCAAAATCGCACCATTTGCTAAGAAATTATGTGTAGTTCCCGTGGTAAAAACTCATATCCCTAACATACCTACCAAAAGTCCCAGTCCTATGAAGCGTCTTCCCCGCCAAAACGTAGCTGTTTTTCATGTACCCCTGCTTAAAATTCAACATTTCACTGGCTAAACACAACCACATTTGGATCATTTAAAATTACAGAGGGGATGGGGTAAAGGCAAATAAATAGATGGAAATAGAAAAACACAGTTGCAAAATTATTCAATTGATTTCAATCGAATGAGGGAATTTAACAAAGACGGGGGAGAGCAGAGAAGTAAACTTTGTGGATAAGTTATTTTCTTTAGGCTCTGTTTCTTTGACGAAAAACAATTTAGATAGGAAAATCAATTCTTGAGAGAGCTATTTTTCAAAAAATATTTTACTGCCGTTTAGCAATTATATGGAAAAATTGCTGAAAAATATATTTCAACGTTTGTTTGATATAGAAAATTAAAATATAAAAACAGTATGTGATTGTTACATCAACAAGTTTTGAGAAAACTTTAAAAAGGCATATTTATAATTTTCCAATATAAAATACATTTAGAAAATTTTAATAAATTTTCATAAATACCGACTCTAAAATTTTAATTCAAAAAAATAAAATGTATTTTTTTAACCATCAAACCAATTCATAAAAATTACTTGAGACAAAATCAAGTCAATATTCACATTTAGTAAAAAAATAAAATTGTAAGTAATCCTAGCATTGTTATTTTGGTAACTTAATTAAGAATTCTTTTTTTTTTTTTTTTAGAAATTGAACTGATAATTTAGTCTAAAAAATAATTTTATAAATTATTAGTTATCATTTGCGAGATAATTATTCATTTGGTTTCAAAAGATTAATTTTGGAATAATTTATAACTAATTATTCACTATAATTACTAATAAAATTTTACAAGCTGATTAAAATTATAAATTATTGATTTAGTTGTAAATAAATAATTACAGATCTTGTAATAATCATTTTCAATCATTTAAGTATAGTGTAAGTGGTGTTTGAGATAATAGTAAAAAAAATAGAGATAAATTATTAAAATAATTATTATAAAAATAATTTTAAGATGTAAAAATATTTTTTAATAATATTTTATGTATCTATAAATCAAAAACTCAAATATTAGTAGAAATAGAGAAAATTAATTAAATAATAAATAATAATTGATGAGGAATAATTAAAAATTAATTTAATATATTTTAAATAAAAAGAAGATAGAAAAAAAATTGTTAAAATATATCAAGAGAGAGGTAAGTAACGCGATATCGAGACGACTCGTGAGAAGGAAAATGTTTTTCTCTTTTTAAACTGAAATTTTTTTTCCAAAAATACTCTTTCATTTTCGTTTGACTGAAAATCATTTTCACGTTGACTTTTTTCTTAAACGCGAAACAAACACTAAAAAATGAGAAAACTTGTTTTCCTCTAAACAAACACAACATAATTAGTTATCCCCACATGTTTGAAAGAGTGGAATACGCATATTAGTTTAACAATATTTGTTTGGTCCTAAAATGTAGGTTTGCTTTTTCTGTCTTTGGTTTTAGAGGATGACTAGCATATATTCTGGATGTTGCTACACATAAAGTTATATACTTTTTTTATTTGTTATCATGCAATAGTGGTAATAAGATAGTTTAAGACAACATTGAAAAGGATTATTTCAAACTTTTTAGATAAATTTGGTTTATAAAAATAAAAAATAAGAGGGATTAGATTGATTTTTTAACATATAGTAGTAAGAAAGAAATATATAAAATCATGACTGTAATAAGAGGTATTCTACGAAGAATAGTTATTTGAAAAGATCACGTGAGAAAAAAATCATAAAATAAAAAAAAATTAAAGCATATATTTCGTATATTGTCGCAAGCTTAGCCAAAATTGAGCAACATAAATATCGCTAATTAGATGTTACTTTATAAGACAAACATTTTATTAGAAATTCATGTATAACTAGTAACTAAAATAATGATGTGGTAACTACTTAAATATTAGATGATCATAGTTTCGATCATCTATAGTTTGTTAATAAGACAAAGAGAAAGCATCTAAAATAAAAAAGGTAAAAAAAAATTTTCCAAATCAAGATGAAATTAGAATATTTCAAATCTCATTCTACGGAAAGTAGAGACAAAAAATACAAGTGGAAAAATTTCAACAACCAAAAAAAAATAAATATCGTATAACGAGGAACCGAAGTAGGAAAAAATATTAAAAGTCAAAAAAAGCTTAAGAATTGTAAAACTAAAATAAATAAAAAAAACTTATTGTGCACAAGGAGGAACAATTATCACTCTTGAGCTGCATGAATTATTAAAAAAACAAAAATCACAAAGCAAGGACCAAAATAAAAAAGAAGCTTTCACCGAAAAAGTAAAAAAAGAGGTGTAGGAATAGTAAAACTACGATTAGTTTCGGTTTATTTACCCATATTTCGTTACGAGTCGGACATAATAAGTCGAATCATCTTAAAAAATCATTCTAGTTTGATGATGAGTGCTATAGCATAGATCCATTAGAATATATAAAATAAACGTGCTAATTTTATAATGTTTTAATCAAAATTTTGTATTTAATTAATTATTATTTATATTTTTTTTATAATTTTTTTACTAAAAAAAAAAAAATTATTCTTCTCTATCCAAGGATTCTTAACTAAAAAGAAAATTCAATGCAAAAAAAAAAAAATGTTGATATTTCATAAGATTGTGTTCAAAAAATAAAGTTGCAACTAATGTAAAATTTTGAATAAAAATAAACAAGTGAAAATTTTTTTTTTAATTCTTATTTAATGTTGATAAAGAATATCGAGTTTTTGAAAGTATATACATTTGATTTATATATATTTGTTCATAAAATAATCAATAATATTAGAATAAAAAAATGTATTTGAATAATTGGGTGGTTCTACTTAAACAATATTTCAACTTTTTTTTTATTTGAAAGTAGTTGATTTTAAAATATCCAAAAACAAACAAATGAAACAATAGTAAATAGTAAATGGTTGGTGTTTTTGCAAAGTTTCATAATTATTTTCTAACAAAACCAATTATGCAATTTTTTTTAATGTATTATAAATATACTAAGTGGGTTTAGTTACAACATAAAATAAAAAATATTAAAAAATTAACTTGTAAGGAATATATTAAATAAATTTGAAGTTAATAGACTAAAATAAAAATTATTATAAAATTGACTTTGATAAATTTTGATTATATAAAGAAGAAGCAAATAAAATTTGTGAATTCTTTTTTTCTTCTTCTTAAATAATTTTTTGTCTATAAGCCATACATGATGAGTCCTTGTGCATAGGCCTCGCATGCAAAGCAATCTTTTTTCTTTGTCTTGTATTTGACTTTCAATTTTTAATTAACTATTTTGAAAAAAAATAAAATTTTCTAAAAAACGAAGATAAATTATTTAAAATATATTTTTAATCTAAAAAGTGTATATCTTGATATATATATATATTCTACTTGTGATTTAAAAATTTTAAGAATCCGTCACAAAAATTTTATCAATTTATTTTTTAAAAAAGAAAAAATAATCATGCTCTAAACTTTTATCCCATAATTCATACACATGAAAAAATAAATCATAATTATCAATAAATATAAATTTACATCAGTGGATGAGAATTTTTGTAAGTAATGACAAATAGAAAGAATAAATTTTACACAATAAAAATAATATAATCTGAAATATATGTTAATTTTAAAATATAAAAATATATTATATATATTTCTTTCTCACCAAACTATACGAAAGAACTCAAAAAACAGTGATCGATCTTCCATAATTTTGGCCCAAACATCCATAAAAAATTATCAAAATAAATCACTGAAAAAAAAAAAGCAAACGCAAAAAAAAAAAAAAAAATTGAAAAACAAAAACAAAGCTAAGGCCCAGGCCCTAGAGGTTGGGCCAAGAGAGGCAGACAACATTCTGGTCGTCTATAATTTTTAGCAAACCTGAGATTCTCGAAAAATTTACTAGAAAATCAAGTTTTCAATTTTTAGCATTTTCAATTCAAATTCAGCGTTATTTTTGTCAAAAACACCTCAAAATCACATAAATAAGGTCAACAAATTCATTTAAAATCTCAAAATCTATTTTAATGCATATAAAAATTCAAACCAAACTCAATATTTTGATGTCTCGATCTATCTTTTTTAATTATTTAATGACTTGAGACCATTATAAACAAACTCTCATCTTCAATACGAACAAATTAAATAAAAGATGGAGAGCCACAGTGGCCGGAATGAGATTAACCATGACTTTTTCTTTCCTACCTTCTTTGTCAACGTTTCTCTCTCGTCGCTACAATCTAAGACCAAACCTTGATAAAAATGAAGTTAGTAAGAAAAATAAAAATTCTTGAAAAAATTAGGAATTAAAGTATAATATTCGTAAAAAAATTACATATAAAATGCCTTTAAAAGGCTTGGAAATCACAAAAAGAAAAAAAAATTACTGTAAAAAAATACAAAAATACCACTAAATCCATGGTGTTTTGTGAGAGAGTGAAAAAAAAGAAAAAGAAACAAAGAAAAATGTAGAGTATTTATTGGTTTTGTTTTGGTTTAATTTGTTAATAATTATAAGATGAGGGTGATAGGGTAAAATTTTAATTCTTGTATATTTACTGTTTAATATTAAATAAAGAAAAAAGTTTTATCGAATTTCATTTGCATTAGATTTTGTTACAGACAGAGAAATTGGTTTCGATTTTACATGCAGAAATGAACTCAATTGTATCAAAGAATTTGTTCCGTGCATGCTTTAAGAGAATTTTTGAATTTTATACTTCCATACTGTGTGTTCTTCAATCCGTTGGGCATATTTTAGAAAAAATCTCAACTAATTAATTAATCGAGCATGTTATTGTCATACCATGCGCATTTCATCTCCCTCTCTATATACCGGTCGAAAAACAAATCCCCTTCTCTATGCCACGACTTCTAAAACTCATATCCGATTGAGTCCGTACCGCTCACGTCAATAAATAAAGAAGGGACGTTCTTAATTTTCAACAGGATGCTTTGAGTCCCAAAGTACTCATTGATCATCACCAAGGGTTATTGGGTTCTCGAGATCGTAACGGTCACTGGCAACGGATCAAATATCTCATGACCCCTTGAAACAAAAAGCATATTAACTAAAAAATCAAAGGAAAACATCGTTAATTGTACATATGCTGTTTGAAACACTATGTACACATTTATTTTTTTTATTTATACTCTCACGTTTCATTATGCGTTTTACTATTTATTATTATTTTTTTTACATTTTCGTTCCTAATATTTTTGAAAGCACATTTCAATTTATATGTTTATTTGCTCATCCATTTTGATCCTTAGGTGAAGAGAAAAGATTGGGAGAAAGAGAGAGACAAGAGGAGAGAGAGATCGTCGGCCAATCTCATTTAGGCCATTCTAACCGATAAAAATCTACTATATTTATTTATCTTTGAGAGATAAATTTATCCATAGTGATTTCAAGCCATTAAATAATTAGAGGTGGTAGATCGAGTCAAAAAAGTAAAAAAATCCAATTTGATTTTATATTTTTCATTGTTTTTGTTTGTATTAAAATGATTTTTAAGGTTTTAAATGTATTTATTGGTTTTATTTCGATCATTTAGAAGTATTTGGAAAAAAAAATGATACTGAAATTTAATTTTTAAAGATCTAAAAATTGATTCTTAATTTTTTTGACAAACTTTCCACGAATTCGAGTTAGTCGGAAGTTACAGTTTTTTTTTTCTTTTTTCCCTCGAAAATCTGTATATATATACATATATTTGCGCCAGGCTAGCTAAATTTTCATGTATTTGCGCCAGGCCAGCGCTGACTTTTTTTCGTTTTTTACTATGCCAGAGTAGTGCTATACAGCTATTTGAAAAGCACAACCAGCCTGCCCTTTTTTTTTTTTTTTCTGCTTCCCAAATGTATATTATATAATATATAACAATGTATAACTATATATATATACACACGGAGAGAGAGAAATGTATATTATATTTATATTTATATGCATACGAAAAAATGTATGTATATATATATACAAGGAGAGAGAAAAATATATATATATATATGGAATTAGGTGTGAAAAACATAAAAAACAAATCGTTATAATTTTTAGATGATAGAATATATATATATATATATATATATATATATATATATATATATATATATATATATATTATATGATTATATTACTTTTATTGTTTAAAATTTATTTCTTAAATTATTTGTTTCTTATTGAAATTCTCATCATATTTATTTTTTATGTGATTTTATTTGTTAATAAATTTAGTTTTTTGATATATGAATTTTAGAATGAAAATTTATAACATCAATCTTTTTTTAAAAAAATATATTATTATAATTTATACAATAAATTCTTCTTTAGTTTTTTAAATGCATTTTTTTAATAATATATTATTATAATTTATCAATTATGAGAGAGAGATATAAAAGTATATTTTAGATAGTCTGAATTATTTTTTAAAAAAATTAATAATCAGTTAAAAGAATTCACAAGTTTTATTTTTTAAAACACACACACACACGCATATATATATATATATATATATATCGCAGCGTAGTGTGAGTATCTTATATTTTTTTTTAACTTCAAACTTTAATTGTATTGCGGCTTTATCACATTTTATTTTAGTATTTTTTTATAATTATTTTTATTATTTCAAATTTGCTACTTTAATTTGTCATTCTGCTTTTAAATTCTCATCCAATTAATTTAAAATTATACGGTCTTCAAATTTTCTATACAATATTTTTTAAAAAAATTTAAACCTTAATTGTATTATGATTTAATTCCATTTTTTTAATATGTTTTTTAAATTTTTTTGATATTTAAAATATATAGCTTTAATTTGTCATTTTTTTTTAAATTCTCATTCAATTAATTTAAATTTATATGGCCCTCAATTTTTTTATACAATATATATATATATATAACGGGCCATTGGCTATATATTATATAATATACATTTGGGACTTGTAAGTGTTCAGGCCATTGGCTCCGCAAGCCTGAATTTACCAGCCAACCCATAGTTCGTGGCCTGTGGCTAAATAAGTAGATAACGGGCCAGCGTAAAAATAAAAAAAATAATAATAAAAAAAAATCCTCGTTCCTTAAATAAAATGAAATTTTTTAATATTAGCTCTAATTTTCAGCTGAAAATAAATTGACCATTAGGCCAAGCCGTCGGGGTGGTTTTAAGTGTTAAATTTTTGTTGTTTTTTTTAATTTAATTTTTTAAAATTTAAATCCATGACTTTTTATAAGAATGATTATCATTGAATTATAAACTCTTTGATAAAAATTTATGCAATTAAGTATAGCTTAATAATCATATATATAGATGAAACTTATATAAACAAATGAAACAGATTTGAGTTTTAATAATTTTAATTTATTTAATATTATATAAAAAAATATCTCTCTTCCTACTTTAAATCCCGCAACCTTTTGATTTTTTTTTCTAAAAAAAGGACAAACAATTTAGTTTTGACTTTAGAGAAATTTTTTCGAGCCCCCAAGTCAAACACAACTTTTTTCTTGACAAGGTCAAACTTCAACGTTTTCTTTTCTTTTGTAATTTTTTTCTTCAGTGAGGTCAAACCCAACCTGGTCTTGTACAAATGGCAATTCTCTCAATTATTTGAATTTTAATAATTTGAATTATATATATATATATATATATATATATATATATATATATATATATATCATCCTAGTTTAAATCCCGCAACCTTTTATTTTAAAAAAAAAAAAATCAAACAATTTAGTTTTGACTTTCGAGAGGCTTTTTTAGAGTCCCCAAGTCAAACAAAACTTTTTCTTTGACAAGGTCAAACCTCAACGTTTTCTTTTCTTTTGTATTTTTTTTCCTTCAACGAGGTCAAACCCAACTTGGCCTCCTACAAATGGCACTTCTCTCAATTATTTGCTTCTTCAAAAAGTAGACGGTTCTTACTTAGTAGATCAAAATTTACGAAACCGTAAGCCAATTAACTATTCAGACCCAACTTCGCGTACCTTGGTTCCTTCCTCTCTCCTAAATTTCAATTTCCCCAGCCAATTATCTCTGAATCCACTAATTCAGGACATGAATGTGGAGGTTCCATACAAACTGACAAACTGATGACGTGTTTTTTAAAAACTTTACTCGGTTCCAATTAGATCGATTTCTTGTCCATTAGGTAGAGGAGCAAGTCATGTACTGCTGTTAGTTGCCCCACGGACATATAATTTCATAATTTTCGGACTAAAGCCTTGGCACATGCCCAGAAAGAACATTAGAAAATTCCATCCCCGTGTATTGTAAATTATAATTCAGTGGGTCCCAATAACATACATGTGGGAGAACATCCGTTCACAATCCATGCGACGTACCAACGAATTCAATGATTCTGGACCCATCATATCAGTCTGAGGCTTGCGTCGAAGATGCTCTTGCGGATCTTCTCCCAACATACATTTCATGTGAAATAATTGTCCGGACGCGCATTGTGGTTAGAGATCACAGTGACATGGATAAATTATATTCTTACGCAGAATTTAGACTAGATGGTTCGATTTGTTTTTGGGTAAATTATTATACAGAATATTATCTTCTGGATTTTCTGTATTTGTTTAACCTAAATAATTAACAAAAATAAAATAAAATCGAGGAGCATGCTTTTTAAAGAGAATAATTAATTTCCACCAACACCATCAGTCCATCGCTCAACCATTTCAACCACAACTGTGAAGTCATAATCATCACCCATTACTTTATGGAGTTGCAACCACGAAATACTAGAATATTGACAAATCTTAATATTATAATATTAACAAAAAAATAAATAAATTATAAGTTATAATGCTAAACTCTTCGTTACTAGCCCTACCAGAATATTGACAAAAAAACAAGACAAATTTATCTTTTTGTATGAAAATTTGTGTATTTCAACCATTAATTTCATATAAAAAGAGAGCGCTATTTCACATTTGGTTGGTTTTCTTAATGCTTCTTAATTTTAAACAAACAACCTCCTTTTACAACGGTATTTTATTTTGTCTCCGTTCTTTATCTAACTTGTATTTAACTACCTTTCATCATTTACTCTTTATTTTCCTCCTCCTTTGCAATAGTGCTTTTGTTTTTTTCTTTTTGAAAGCTTTAAAATATGTTAATTCGGTTCAAATTAACTTGTCATGTTTTTGGTTTGTTTTAACTTTTTTTTTTTTTTTTTTTGTATTTTGATAAGTCGGTCGATTTAATTATTATTTTCTTATAATTAATTTTACTAGATAAATTTAAAATATACATACAATGTAAGTTTTTTAAATGATCTCTGCAAAAACTATTTATGACTTGAGTTTGTTACTAGAGTGTTTGATAATGCAGTGCTTGATGCTTTTGTAAAAGTAATTTTCAAGGTGTTTTTTTAATGATTTTGACTTATTTACATAACAGCCATTTAAAATCCGAACTCATTTTTAAAAAAAAACATTTTCAAAAACAATGCAACCACATCACTTAACGAGCACTAAACGTAGTTATGATTTTTTCTTGAGAAAATCATTTAATAACTCTTAATTATCATGCCAATAATAGTGTCTCTTGTTAAATTTATGACAAACCAAAAAAACAAGTTTTTTTTATTTGAGATAAATAAGAAAAATGTAAATTATCAAAAATAATGTCCATAGCTCTCAAATTTGAGTTTTTTTTTTTGTAAGTTATAATAAAATAATCACATACATTTTATTTCATATAAAATAACTTGTTTTGTAAAATGTTCCTCGCTTCCTACAAAACATGTTGCATTTTATTTTTTAGCTATGCTAATGAAAACTATTTGAAAATAATTATTTAGTGTTTGGCACGTATAAAAAAAAGGTGTTAAAAAAGAGAGGATAAGAATTAATTTATGATTAAACCCATGATTTGATCATAAAAATATTATCGTAAAATAGTTTACGAAAATATGTTTTATATGAAACAAACATAACTTAGCATGCATTAAGTGTTAAAAGAAAATGTTAGTCATCCAATCTAATTAATTAAACCCTCAAATCGCAACCCTGATTCTTCTCCAACTACTTTAAATTTCTTATTCTTTTTTTATTATTATTATTTGTAAAAGTCACTTTCTATTTCTAATTTCTAACGTAACAATGCTTTCATATCATTTCTATTTTTCTTTTTTTTAGTTGTATTTTTTCATCTTTGCTTGTATAAGTTATTTACAAAGTTGACTATTCGCTCTTACCTTTTCTTTTTAACGCTTTTATGGTTGTTTTAGCGTGGTCGATTTTTTTTTTAAAAAAGAAAAAACTCACATTGTTTTGACATATACCATTATCCTTTTTTAGACTTAAACGGGGTCGTTTAATCTCATCAAATACCAACCACCATAGACCATTAGCAGAGCTGACTACCAGTTAACACTTGAAATTTTCATAAAAAAGTTCTGGGTTTTTGAAAGGGTGGAAAATCAATTTTTTTTTTTTTTGGTGATTCAAGGTTCTTTAAATCTTTCGGATGAAAGGAAAAAAAAATTATAAAACAAACCAAAAGATTTGAGATTAATTAATGTGCAATTACAAGACTAAAGGACCAAAGCCCGATTTTTTATTTTTTATTTTTTGTAATTTTTGAGCTTTTTTTCATACAATTATAAGTTAATTATACAAACTTTTACACTTTAGCATGTGATGTTTCTAATAAATTTATTTTGATTCAGACCTTTATTTGTGGCACATTTTGATCCTTGAGTGTGTATAGAAGAGAGAAATGAAGAAAGAGAATTGGGAGAGGGAAAGCGAGTGCTAACCATGCTTATTCTCGTTACTTTGGCCGGTAATATTTCATTCAATTTGTTTGTTTTGAAAAAAAGAGTTTGCCTATGATGATTTCAAATCATCAAATAATTAGAGGGGATAGATCGGGGACAAAAAAGAATTGAATTTGTTTTTTTTTTTTAATGTGTACTAAAATCATTTTAAGGTTCAAACTAGTTTATTGACCTCATTTCGATGTCTTAAAAGTGTTTTGGAGTAAAAATAACAAATGAATTGAATTTTAGGGTCGAAAAATCCAAAAATCCATTTTTTCGACAAACTCAAGTTCATCCAAGGTTGTAGCAAATGACACGTCGTTTGCTCTCTCTCTCTCTCTCTCTTCCTTGCCAGCCCAAGCCTATGCCTTGGGCCCGGAGGCCTATGGGCACACGCTTGCTTTTGCGGGCCCAAGGCCAGTCGCCCTAGCTTATTTTTTTTCTTTCTTTCTTTTGTATGCAATTTTAAAAAAAAATTAATTTTGAGCTTAAATTTATGAAAAAAAAAATCTTTGTTTTTCATGCAACCCCATGATTAAAAAATATATTTTGTTTGATTTTTTTATTTTATTTTTCAAAATTTAAGACAATTTCTTTAATTTGTCATTTTATGGAGACATCTAATTAATTTTTTAAATATAACCTTATTTATTAAAAAATATGATTTATTTCTCTATATATGGATTTTTGAATAAAAATTAGAATGTGATTTTAAAAAATAAATTAATGTAATTTATTTGATAAATTCTTATGATTTTTAAATGAGAGCAATATATATATATTAAAAATGTATTTCAAATACTTTTTCTTGAACTAAAAAATAATAATAATCAATTAAAAATTAGATTTTACATGTGTATTTTGCTTCTTTTTTTATGCAATGGAAATTTATTGAAGTCAATTTTATAGTAGTTTTTATTTCAATTTATTGACTTCAAATTTATTATATATATATATATATATATATATATATATATATATATATATATATATATATATACGCACACTCGAACCTACGAGAATAATCATAATGTATACGAAAAAACTATAATCACTCATCGATTTTATTTGAAATTAACTATGCATCTATACATATAAAACCGACCGTTTACTATTATTTTTTTCTTTTTGATATTTTAAATTTAGTTTATTTTCAATAAAGAAAATAAAATAATATTTTAAAATAACCATCTAATGTTTCAAATACAGCGTCAATGCTATATTATTAATTATTTTGTTATTTAATACATATGCAAATTAAATGCGTGTACTTAAAAAAAAATTTCTCATTAGCATTAAATAAGAATAAAAAATTATATTTATGTTTGTTAATTTATAAACAATTTTTATATTAATTGTTGTTTTATTTTTTTTTATACAACTTTATGGAAAAGATATTAAGTTTTTTTTAAAAAAAAAACGGATTCAATTTTCTATTTAGTTTGTTGTAAATTCTTACTTAAGAATCGGTATGTACACAATGACAAATCATGTTTTTTTCAATTAAAAATTTATAAAAAAATATATGGAATAATCAATTAAATACCAGATTTTGATTAAAAAGTTATCATGTTTCGTTTTTATAAAATTTATTTTTAATTTGATATATTTTAATATATCTATAATATAATATGAGATATTAAATAAAAATAATTTAGTTTTGTTCAACCCGCAACATAGTGTTGACAACAAATTGATATATAGTACACCAATTCACAAAGTAGTAACAAACTAGCACATAGTACATGGATCGACTTCTAGTTGCAACTTGCAATTGCCAATGTCACCATCTTATTTTTTTCCCACCATTATTATTAGTTCATGACTTGTTTTAATGCTATCATTACCTTTACGCCATTTCATTGCCATTGCTGTCACCATGATTTTATCATCAAATTGTGTGTATCATTGCTCGTCAATATATATATATAAAGCTACATCCATAATATTTTGTGTAAAAAAAAAAAAATACAATCTTTAAACTTTTATCATCTCAAGATAGAAAAGAAAGACAATTTTTCAACTCCCATGAAATAGTGTGTGATCGGATAAATAAATCCATCCATGTCACACGCTATTTTATTATTTTATGTACTAATCAAGAGAAATTGTCAAATTTAGTACTAATAAAACAAAATAAATTATAAATTAATCCCTCTGATTTTTCAAAGGGAATTAAATGGTTCCTTTATTTTCAATAACTAATGAATCAGTCTCTATATTTTTAAATCTCTTTATAACTTAATCATTTTCATTTTTATTTAATTTTTTTAATAAATATAAAAGAAATACAAAATATAGAAAGATTATGAGAAAATAAGACATTTTAAAAAACATATATATTCAAGCCATCATGGTCAATGCTCATTAAAAAAACTATTTAATTACTTCTTCTATTTCAAAAAGATTTTTCCTTTTATATTTATTTCAAAATGCTTATAAGGTCAAAACTTTAAATAACATACTCTCCTAAAATATCTCTAATTGAAAAAAAAAATCGATTCTTCTTCCATTTTTTATTCTTAACTAACAAAAAAAAAAAAAAAGCATTCTTTATACTTTTTCCTTATATCTACAAGTAATTTTAACATAAAAATTTTAAAAGAACTTTTTTTGTCACATAAAAAATATTTATTCTTGTAAAAACTTCACTGGACATCCAAATTTTAAGAGTAAAATATTTTCATTGATATATTATTTTTCTATAATTATTTTAAATTTGATTATTTTTTAAATTTAATGATTTTTATTTAATTTACCATCTTAACTTTGGACAGATTTTCTCTTTAAATTAGCATTAGTTCCATGTAATGTAAGATTAAATTTGATAATTAATAATTTTAATTTTTTTTTAAGAAATATGAATAAAAATAATGATATGGCATAATGATTAATAATTTTTTTAAATTGCGTAAGAAGTAAAAGGAGATGATGTTTATGGAACGGAGTGAGTAGTTTTTAAAACCAGAAGGCCTTTTTAATTTGTTTTGCAAAACTAAAAAACAAATTTATAATTCACTTAGTAAAAATAACAAAGCTGGCAAACATGGAAAAGTAATTTAGGAAGCGCCAACGGGACAAAAGGCAAGATTTCGACACAGATAACTACAACCTAAAATTTATGACTCGGATAGCAATATATATATAGCATATTGATCGCTGCAAGTGCAATTCATAGCTGTCGTACAACCTGAACTTAGTAAGAGGTAATGAGCAGCTAGGCCGAATTATGAAGCCCTCTCTATGCTTTTGACATTAAGGAATAAACAAAACAACACTGAAATATAAAGGAACGACAGAAACAAATAAAGAAAAACAGAAAAGGGTTCATAAAAAAGGAAAAAAAAAAAAGAGAGAGATAAAATGTTGTGCTAGCTAGCTCCTAGAAGGTGGGAAAAAATAAAAATAGGATTTGCTGCTTATAATAAAAAGCAAACCTAGAGTCAAAGTCAAGCCGAAGAAAGCCAGCAACCAAATGAGAAAATTGTAAAAAAAAGAAGAAGAAAAGGTCAGGTCAGGGCAAGGCAGGGAAGGGCAGGGCAGGGAAGGGCAGTTGGGTTCAGTTTCTCCCTCCCCTGCATAAACCTAGAAGACCATTTGCGGCACTGGAGACACTACAACCCCACCAAAATGGACCCCATCAACCGCGTACTGTATTCTTACAGTTCCCAAACGCAGCCTTCCAAGCATCGAATTTCTTCGCAACTTTCCTATTCTATTTTCTTCTCGCTTTCCTATTATCGCCTCGTCAACCACCCTATAAATATTCCTTAACTCTCCGCTCCATGAGCCATACAAAAGAATCTCTTTCGTTCGCCCTATTTTTACTAGCATATGTCTCAAAGACCCAGCGTCCCCCACTATTCTTCTATTGCTTTTAGCCTTCATTCCCATCTCGACGTCTCCAGTGATCTGAAACCTAACTGGTGACGGCACAAAAAAACAAAAAAAAACCCAATTTTGCATCCACAAGAACGAAGACATTCATTTATTCTTTTTTAACTAAACAAACAATACTAAGTTGCTAATTAATCATGGGTGTCAAGGGCTTTGTCGAAGGAGGTATTGCTTCAATTATTGCTGGATGCTCCACTCATCCTTTGGATCTAATCAAGGTCCGTATGCAACTCCAAGGCGAAAATTTACCAAACCCACAACAAGTTCACAATCTCCGCCCTGCTTATGCCTTCAACTCCGCTGCAATCCCTCATAATTCCGTCCATGCCCCTCCCCCACCTCCACCGCCGCGTGTGGGACCAATTTCAGTCGGCGTCCGCATCGTCCAGGCAGACGGTGTTGCCGCTCTCTTCTCCGGCGTCTCCGCCACCGTCCTCCGCCAGACTCTCTACTCCACCACACGCATGGGACTCTACGATATTATGAAACAAAAATGGACCAATCCGGAGACAGGAAACATGCCGTTGTTGAACAAAATAACTGCCGGTTTAATCGCCGGTGGGATCGGAGCGGCTGTTGGTAATCCAGCTGATGTGGCAATGGTTAGAATGCAAGCTGACGGACGTTTACCTGTGTCCCAGCGGCGGAATTATAGCGGCGTGATTGACGCCATCACGAGAATGTCGAAGCAGGAAGGTGTTACTAGTCTGTGGCGCGGGTCATCTCTTACAGTGAACCGTGCGATGATTGTTACAGCATCGCAATTGGCATCGTATGATCAGATAAAGGAAATGATTTTGGAGAATGGATTGATGAGGGATGGGTTAGGAACTCATGTGACGGCGAGTTTTGCGGCGGGTTTTGTGGCGTCGGTGGCGTCGAATCCGGTGGACGTGATTAAGACTAGGGTTATGAATATGAAAGTGGAACCAGGTAAAGCTGCGCCTTACAGTGGAGCTATTGATTGTGCAATGAAGACCGTGAAAGCTGAAGGGGTCATGGCCCTTTATAAGGGGTTTATACCTACAATTTCAAGGCAGGGTCCTTTTACGGTGGTTTTATTTGTGACTCTTGAGCAAGTTAGGAAGTTGCTCAAAGATTTCGATTTCTAATTGATGATGACGAAAAACGGAGTATTATTGGCTTATTGGTTATATTACTAGTATTACTCTTATGATTACCATAAGATTTTTTTTTTTAATGTACTACTAGCATTATCCTTATTAATGAGAAGAGTTATTATTGATACTTATATTGTTTTTCTTATTTTTCCACAATAAGGTGGCGATTCGGGTTATGATGCCTGCTTCTTGATTTGTTGTGTTGCTTCTTAAAAAGGAAAAAGAAATTAATGATTGAGATTTTTCTTGGCATCAAGGAGTCATTTTACTAGTGGTTGAGTTATTCAAATTCTGAAGATGTTGAAGCAGATTAGTTGTTTTTGTTTCGAAACAAAACGCGGGTGTTTAGGAGTGTTGGGGAATCGGATGCAGATTAATTATGGCGTTCTTGTCTGACTTTGAACATTGAACTGAAAAAAAATGCCAAGAACTGTCGTGATGTCTTAAAGATCTGAGAGGGATCGTCGTTAAAAATCTACCGTCGCCTGCCAATAAAATTTGGTTTTGGTGTTTTGTGCTTCGCTGTAATTAGAACTGGTGGTGAACACGTTGAACCTAAAGATCACGTGGACATTCGATCTCCACACGAACCGTTTCATCGTCCGTCACCCGCAGAACGTGGCTAATTAAAGCACGAATTATTTATTTTAGAAGTGGGTCCCACCATCCACTTCAATGCTGTCAAAAAAAGGCAGAGCACGACTGGTCTAGTGGTCTTCCAATCAAAGGTGGGGTGCCCGACTTCTTTGTCTCAGTTTCTGGAGCTTTGAAAAAGAACGGTCCAATCTGTTCCTTTGTATTAGCACTTGGGAATTTTGAAGAATTCAGAGCTGGAAAATGTTAAAGACTTTATTAAAATAAATGCAGAGTTTGATGCAGAATCTCATCTAATCAATGAGTGATGGTAAACATCGATTCTTGTACATGAAGAGGACAAGAGGTAATAGTGAAAAATAAAAGGAGAGGCGCACCACGGTTCTAGCAACTCCAACTACATGAAAAAATTGCATTTGACAATAGCAAAGGATTTTACAAATAAAATCCTAAATCATCTCTGAACCAGCAAAATTCAGCAACTAAAATACAAACAATTCATCTTACATAAAGGAGATTGTTAATATGTACATCATAGGCTCATGGTGCTGTGCTGTCTCCGGTCTTTGAGCATCTCGTTAAGGGCATAGATCCACCTTGCAGCTCTGCTATCCCGCAAGATTCTCTAATTTTACTGAGCACTACTATGGTATCTGTCACAAACAAACTGCTGAGGACATAAGCTCATGTCCCATGGGCACGAAATGAGAGTCCATGTATCATCTAGAATTAATCCTTGGAGTCACTAGCGGTTGACCTTTGCCTGCATTGGCATGGTAGGATACATGGCCATCAGATTTTCCTCTTTCAAAACTTTGCAGCTGTTCGCCTTCCGCATATTGTCCACCATGTAGGTCCTGGAGTGATTGGCCATCTGATGTAGATTTATCAGAATTTTGAAGTAATTTCTCTTCTTTTCCCAAACCTTCCAATCCTTTGTCTTTTTCTAGATTTTGAACTGAATGTATTTCTGAACCTCGGCTCTTCTCCAGGTTTTGATCTGAACCTCGGCCCTTGTCCATATTCTGGAGTTCATTTGCAATCTGGCTACGCCGCTCCTTCAGAAAATTGAGCCGGGTCGTCAACCTTGTCAATGCAGAAGTGGTGGAATTCACTCCCTATTGGACACACAGTTGTGGCAAGTAGCATGAATATATTTCATACAGTTTACTTTTACGAAATAATAAGCTTTAACTCAACTTGGCCACTTGAAATAAGCAATTACTTTCTTAGGTTCCACAGAAAACAAATAACTTTTTATTCCACAAGATTTGAAAGTCCATCCTTCACAATATTATCCATCCTATGATTTGATTTGGCATAGAGTAACCTATTTCCCCAGCAAAACTACAAAGTTTAATGGCCTACCTCACTTCTTGTACTCCTCCTGGAATTGGTTGAAGAAACGGGTCTGGAATTGCCACTGTGTGCTGAATCCAGCTGCTGGGTTTCAACTCCATCCATACACATATCCTGTCACAAGACACCCCCCACAGTTGTCTACTTGTCTTAATCCATGTTATCAAAGAAAATCAATTGGAATAGCTGAAGGTCAAAATGTTGATTATGCATCCTGAGAAGCTGCATTTATATATTTTTTTCACAATCTATTATTCCAATCCCAATGTTTAAAAAGAAACTTTCAGCTGACATGCACAGCTTAATCAGGATTCTCTAACAGCTGAAGAAATTTGCCATTATAGTTTCGGTAATTTGATAATTTTGTTTGTCTATTCGTAACTTGGAGAGACAAATTTACCTCTACCATTTATACATAAGACTAGATCGAGAGAAGCATAAAAGACGTTTGGGGCAAGAAACATTTCTGGCATAGAAAGAATTAATAGGCCAAAGTAAAACTCATAAGATTGATCAAACCATATGTGCTGCAAGTGCAAACCTTGCTTGCAGAACGTCCAAATTGAGAAGTAACAGTAGCTTCAGCATCCTCCTGTTCATCATTCCTGCAACAAGATGATATTAACCACAGCTCCACAACACACCACGCCCACACGTGCATACAAGCATGCCATAAAAAAAGCTCTTTTTTTTTCTTTCCGTTTCTTCTAATCACATACATGCATCATTTTCTGTTTGTCCAGTCTCAAAAAAAAGAAAAAACCGAACGGAAGCAAGGAATAAGTGTTTCTTTTAAATGATGGCTTCTCCTATACTTCATCTGTATGAAGCATCAATGAGGCATTGCATACAAATGTTGGTGGGTAAAATGTGTAAATACAACTCAGACATGGGGTATGAAAACTACAAAAAAAAAATTACCGTTTCGCTTTATGTAATGAAGCAATCATGGGCTGATTGCTCAAATCTTGCATAGAACCAGAGTGCTTTTCATGCTGTGGATTAAGCTGTGCTCCTAGATCGTCAACCTTCTTCTTCAAATTGGCGACATCTGCCTCTGCTTGAGTTATTTCCTCAAGCTCTGCCTTCATCTGTAGCACAATAATAAAATTAAGATTTCAATGCTACAATAAACACCAATTATACTAGTTACAGAAGAGGTGAACCAACTTTTTCATCAATTGTAACTGGAACTTGCAAGGGTCTCATAGAAGTGTTAAGTCCGGCTTCCAGAACTTTTCTCTTATCCATCTCCTTTTGAAGCTGATCCTGTAGTCTTGCCACCTGTAAAATACAATGAATGCCCACATTTCAACAACCCTAGAAAACATTCAATCAATCTAGTATTTGTATTATCACAATGTTGTAAGAGAAGAAAACGAAATAAAGGGCAAGGCATAGTCTAGCATCACAATGTTGTAAGAGAAGAAAATGAAAAATAAAACCCATGCAATAGCAATAATTTTATGGCTATCTTGACATCTCCAATGAAAAGGTTTCAGAAAGGGCTTCCTCCTACACTGCCAAACATAGAAAACTTCCTAGAGTCTTCATGTAAAACTATCTCGACAAAATCAGTGACACTATTTTACAGACGTATTGAATGTGTTAGTGAAGTTAGCTATTTTTCATTATTTTTAACAGTATAAAAGGAATGTAACAAATTTTAACAGTATAAAAGGAATGTAACAACCATTGTACTAAACTCTCAATATCTAAACATGAATCTCTGCTTGTCTAGACCAATCCGTAAACATCCTTGGCAGAATCATCTAGAAAGGGAAGGAACAGAGGGAAAAAGGAAGAATCAAAATAACAATAGAAAAGATAGTAAATCTTCTCAATGGAACATACAGCTTGCTGGAGAGCTAGACGATGCTCGTGCAAAGCCTTCTTTCGTTTTTCCAAGTTGGCTTGCAGAATGGCATTACCTTTGACCTATGAAGGAAAATACAGCAGATTATTGAAGGGAACAAGAACTCAGGAAACTCCATACACTGACACCAGGAGACATTATTTCAGTCTCTACCTCTTCAGAAATTCTATTTTGCAACTCAATTTTACTTGCCTCCAGCTTCTGGATTTCAACACTAAACAGTCAAAACAACAGATGATCAGCATGGTTGGAGATAGTAAAGAACAGTCCATGACACTAAAAGAAAGACTATGTCAATTCAAAAGGAAAGAAATGGAACATAACATGCCACGTTATGAAAGTTACTGTATCATTAAATCCATAAATAAGACGAATGGATTGTTCTATTGATAGAACTATCTTCAGCATAATAAAAATCATGGGAGCTACATCACAAAGATGTGACATACCTGGATATTGTCAACGAGTAAGAAGAAACAAAGCATTAATAGTAGGAAAGTGCACTTTCGCCAAGCATCACATAATTGAACTGACTAAAGATAAACTTCAAGCACAAAAAGTAGTGTGTTACTACAGTTTCGCCCTTTGTTTTGTGAGTGTATTTATGCAAGAAATATTCGTGCTATATATCTTTTACATTAAAGTACAGAAAACGAAAAGGAAGGGCTGGATTTAAGCTAGAAAGTTTCATAGCAGGACATTCAAATCTTCACCGTTCACCAAAATTAAAGTCAGCATAGGAACTGACTGACAGCGATGAAGGCCACTAACACTAATTATTCCTAATCCTAACTCCAACCAATCTTCCAGATGAATGAGCATAGTAAACCGGGTTTCAGTTTTTCTGGTGCTAGATTGAACTTCTACTACAGATAAAACATATCACCAGTATATCAATTAGAGTTTAGTTCCTTATAATTTGTTGATATCCATTTGATCCATCCAACATGCAATGTTAATATTGCCCTCTTTAATTCTGACATACAGAAAGCGACTGCTGGCAATAAAGAGACATATTTTTATAAGGGAGATTTTTCTAGAACTGAACTTTATATAAATAAGAGTTATTTCCACAGAATTTAATGATACCCATTCAATCCATTTAAGATACACTGGTAATTCTGCTTTTTAGTTCAGACTTACAGAAAGTTCAGCTGGCTGTACAAAGTCTTGCTATTGCAATGGATATTTTTCTACCATATACATTTAGCTAGCACCTACTACATTATTTAAACCAAAAAAAGTTTGTGCCTAACACCTTCCACATTTATCCCTTCTGCCTATAGCCACAGGCAAAGAGTAGAACAAATGGAAAAAGAAATCCACCTGCAGTGGTGGTGCCAAGGATGTTGCTCATAAGTTTGATGAAAGCAAAATTCAAAAAGGCTAAAAATGTAAATAAAAAAATGCTTGCGTAAAAAGAAGCATGATCCATATAAAGGAGATATATACTTACTCATCCTCAAAAGGGTAATCAATAGATTCCATGGAAAGGTTCTTCTTTGCCTGAATTCATGCCAAAAGGGGAAAAAATCCAATTAGAGATGCTTATATTGCACAAATATGCACTCTTTGGGATGAGACAGTGATTGACTGTATAAAGTCAAATGCCTTTTCACAAGAAAAATCATTTAGTTGCAAAACATTTTGAGGAGCATGACTAAAGGAAATGGCAAGCCAAATCATAAATCTATAAAACATGCACTCACAGAAGTACGTCCCCAAACAGTTGGGCGCTTGCCCTGCAAAGGTCCATTTGATACAGTTGTACTTCTTATAACATTTGGAGATGCATCGTGATCAGAAATCTTATTCTTCAACTTTTTTCCAGTAGAAACATCTACATACAGGTCATCTGACTTATTTGACTTTGTGGCCAAACTGCTGTTGCTTTGATCTGGAATCCCCTCACTCTTTTCTGCATTATCATGTTGAGGCAATGAAGTTTGAATTGGAATCGATGACTGCTTTTGTTCAGCTTTCAAATCATTATCTACTTCAGGTTCAGGGGACTTGGAACCAGAACTAAGATCATTACTGCCCTGCACTTTAAAGGACACAGAATAAGAATAGTTCTTACTCTTAAATTTCAATTAACAAGCCAAAAACAATACAAAAAGAAACTAAGTCAATAATGAGGAAGAGGCACAGCAGATGACAATATAAGAAGAGATTCAAATTAAAAGATATATGGCTGGAAAACGAAATGTTAGACTATGGCCGGTGATTCCATTGAAAAGATGCCGAGAGTAACAAATGTGGAAGGTTTATATGCACAGCATTGCAGTAGGTTTAATAATTGCTAGGTTTAAACAAGATCTTCTTTTTACGTAAAAAAAAACAGGTTAAACAGTCCAATGGGTGTACCTCATAGTCAGATGGATCATCTTCACCAGAGTCACCACTCTGAGTGCAGGTTCCACTTGATGCATTGTCATGATTGTCATCTGTATAAACATCAGATTCTTCCGTCGCATCATCTACATAAGACATGTCGTCGTCGTCAGTTACCTCCTCATCCTCACTTCCACATTCATCTGAGTCAGAGTACAGTCCTGGTGACATGGAACCTTCCTGCAGACACAAAGCAAATTCAAGAAAGCATAAAATAAATAGTGCTGGATGAAGCAAACAACATAAAAGGGAGAAAGGATGGCCAAGACATTCAACTGTGAATGTACTTAACAAAAGTCTCTATGACCTATCATTTTCTGATTCTGTTGTGCTATAAAGTTCCCTACCATCTGAAGCTTCATGCTATTCTTGTATTTCTTATTCCTCAAGTAGAACAGAAAGAAATTCTGTACTCAGAATTGCAAGCTGTTAACCGGCCTTCATGGAATATTAGTAGTGAATGAAACAATCCATTGAACTTAACTTTTGTTGTCCATCAAATAATTGTTAGTCACTTCATATTCATTTTAGGTTCCAAAGTAAACAGAAGCGTTTCAAATGTAGTTAATATGCAGCTAGCCAGAATCAGTCTACACCTGATTAGGAAGAAACACTTTCTAATTTAAACATCCAGTGTGTCTGTAATACATGAAGCCATACCATACTCTAGTTAAAACAACAACAGAGACTTGCAGCTTACACTGAATATTTTTTCATACTCGTCCAATAATGTTATAACAATGGCTTGTGCATGATTAGCTGCAGCAGCTGCTTTCAGAAGCTGGATGGAACCATCACCGCCCACATTAAAATTGGATTCAATTTCACAGTCACCAGCTAGAAGGGGGCGAAGAAGTAAGGGAGCCATACAAGCAGCCACAGCAGACGTGCTCATTCGGTTTACAGCTTTGTGAGAAGCCACAGTTTGCATCATTAGAAGAATTCTGAACAAAAAAGGGAAATAAAGCACAGTGATTCAAAATCAATGCAAGAAATGCACAGCCAAGAAGCAACATTTAGGCCTCAGTCCAGAAAGGAGAAAGGTAAAGAAAACACAAACAATATCGTTTGATGCTCCGAATCTACAAGACTAAAACTGAAGTTCAGTCTACAAATCTCATTTATATTCTGATACGTCCTCAAATCCTAAGAATTCCTTTTCCCAAGTGTCAAATTCCAACATTCACGTCAGAGGTAATCGACAATCATCTACCTCTGCAATAAGCGACGGTTTGGCTCTGGGAATGTTTCACATATTGCTACCCGCATGGCATGTACTCTACTGCCGCGATCAGTTCCTAAACATTATAAAATCATCAAATAGTGAAAAATCAGAAAACTAATGAATTGAACAATGGAGACTACTGAAAATTCAATTTTGTGGTACAAGAAAAAAATATGGAACAAAATTCTATGGAATGATTTCCACTAAATTTTCGAATTTCAGCATCTACAGCATATCTACAGATATTTAAGAGTTAGGATATCTTGCCAAACTCCATGAAATTGGGAAACGACTCAATCTAACCAATCAGTAATTTAGCCAAAAAATACAAAAAATTGTTTCTTTACCTTGAAGCAGACCAGTTTGTTGATGACAAAAAAGTATATCAAGCTTCTAGCAGATTTTAAAATACATCTAACCAATCACCATCATTACCAATGTTTAACATCCAGGCATACAATTCATATCCAATCGTGAAAAAAGGATGACCAGATTAAGGAAATGGTAACCATAAAGTAAACTAAATGTTCAACCAACACATGCAACATGCATAACTGGAATATAAACATAAAGAAGATAGTGCTGATAACTAGAAGTACATGGTTGGAATGAAATTGGAATATACATGCTCATGCATTATGCATGTATACTTGTATCCATTTAATTCAACCAACAAGCAGTGTCATGGTACATTTTGTCTTCAAAAACTCTCCAAACATGGTAGTTGTAAAACAATTTTTGTGAACCAAACTGCAGATTGGATGTAAATGTAAAGATTGTGACTGATAAATGTTATACGATATATAATGGCTCGGCATTAACAGTATATAAAGCACTCATGAAGTTTTCAGTACAAAATTTGTAACTATAGCATAAGACAGCGCAGGAATAAATGAAGATACTAAGATCCACACTCCAGGAACAGACTTACGACATGCTTCCAGAAGAGCATTGCAGCATGATGTGGGAACTGGAGATGATGGCAACTCTCGGAGGAAATACTGTAAAATTGCAAGGACATTTAATAAAAAAAACATAAAGACTGCTTGTGGAATTTGCTATTCGGAGGAATCAATACTTTATTGCAACAGGAAAGAGAAATACCTTGACACAATCAGCAATGACATGTGCATCCTCCTTAGGAGAGAACTCAGTTTTTCCTAAGGCACACCATAACCATTATTTAGATAACTCAAAAAATAAAAATATATTTCTACTATCAAACTTCAATGCAACCGGTTTCCTAGTCAATACTGCTTTATTAGTAAAGAGGGTCTCAAATCTTATATTTTCCTGACAATTTGATTATTTGTTAGCTACTAGTAAATCTGAAGTAAATGAAATGGATATCCAAGCTTTAAATTGTGATTGGACTAAAATGTCAAACATGAGAAAGCACACAACCCACGGAACCTGCATTTTGCAGTCAACAAAAAGTACAGAGGTTTACCGAGGACAAAATATATATGAAAAAACTAACCCTGTTCAAATTCCTTAATTCGATGCTCAACATCATCAACATCTGCAGCTTGCCGCAAGATGCCTTCCACCTTTATTCCTGTTAATCAATTTCAGACAATCAGATCAGACAGGTGAGGAAAAACAAAAATATATCAGTACATATTTAAACCAAAAATTGAAGAAGTAATCCAAACTCTAAAAATCATGTTAGATTAACAGAATTCCAATAAAGGAGGCCATTATTTACGAAATTCATGAAGGAAAAAAGGTCAAGATGAAAATGAAAAGGATGAATGCATCAATCCTGGTTAAATATTTCTTTTCTTATTTGTGTGTGTGCATGAGAGAGAGTAGAAGAGAGATTATATTTGTCTAAGGTAAGGCATTTCAAAGTCATAATAGTCTATAACACTCGAAGAAAGTAATCTTTAGTCATTCCGCAACTAACAACTCATGTATATGTTTTATGGGCAGTTTAAAACCAGATAACCCAGGAACTTTCAAAGCAAGCTAAATAATTTTTTTCCATTTTCTGTCCTGGTTACGGGGGATCCAATAACCGAGAGACTACCACTATGAAATATGATGGGAAAACACTGTTTGTAAGGGGGCACCGAGAAATATCAGAGCATGAAATTTGGAAAGGACAAATTTCAACCAGCCAGCCAGTAAAGAACTCCCCCATTCATTATAGTGCTTATAGCTAATTGAAGACCCTATTACAGCACTCCACAAGGAAGCACCAGATGAAGTATAGATGGTAGTCAGACCCTTTCTTTACAATTGCACCGGAAAATGTGCAGACTATGAACTATGGTATAGTAACATATGATGTTGAAATCTTATCTATATGCATAAGGAAATTAATCCGATATTAATAAAAAAAATATCTTGAAAATCACATCCATATACATCTGCAAGTTAATTCACTGAACGATCATATCCTTGTGTACCACAGAAAAAATAACTAAATAAATAAAACAGGAACTATGCTGTCCCAGGTATTGCCAGTTTCATCTCTCAACTCTCAACCACAAGATAAGGGAATCCATTGATGCAATGGGGAAAGAAAGTAATCCAGAGATGTGGACAAGGAGAAGGAAATAAAGAACGTTAATGGAAAAGGAAACCCACCATGGTCTTCTATAAACCTTAAAGCCTTCTCCAGAAAAGATGGAGATCCATCAACATCTTCTAAAGCAAGTAAAATTGGTCTGCCAATGACCAAAGATTTTAACGGCTGCTTATCCTTCACTATAGGGGGAAAAAGTAAATACATTTAGGAGCTGAAAAATGAACACAAAGTTTCTAACACTATTCCAAAGAACCACACCGCATAAACACAAAATAACAATGTCAACCAAAAAGGATGTACACTAACACTGTTCCAAAGAACCATCAGCTCCATCAGCCTGATCATTCTGGAAAATACCATTTTGCCCCATCACAATCGAAGCACTTGGTGCCTGTGCCAGAGCATTCTCAAGAGCAGTCTTCCATTGATATAAATCTTCAGAAGTTTCAGCCTGTGTAATCAATACAAAGCAACCAGAACAAAGAGGTCATCAAGATTGCAAAAGGAGACCAAAACAGAACACAGAAAGTGCACCCAATTCTCACTGAAGCCCATGGGATTTTCAAGTTGAGAAAATATATATAGGTTACAGCCTGTGAGGAAAAATAAGGATGCTTAGGATGAAGTACTGTGGGATGGTTAGAGCTTACAAAAGGCATTAGAATTGTGACCTTGTCACCTAGGGACATCTAATAAAATTACAATTGTGACCTACATAGATGACTGATCGAACTGCTTGTGTTTTGAGATCATGTATGGTGAAATAGCTTGATGCATTCTAGTATTAAATTGTGAAAAAATAATAATAAAATGCAAACTAAGCTGGCGAGCTTGATCTTTGTTCTTTGCCAAGTTGCAGCCCAGATAAAGCTTAAGCCTAGCTAATACCCTTTGGCTTAACTCTTTTGCAGGTACCACAATGAAGCAACGGATTGCAAAATTACCTTGAGAGTGAATGCTCGTCCATCACGGCCATCAGGAAAGAGAACAGTCAAGAGCTTTTTATCTGCTTTGACAACCACACTATAAAATTCCAAAAGATGGACTACAAAGTTAGTAAACTACATCCAGTTGTGAACAACAATGAGAAGACAGCCAGATTAACAATGTCTAATTTGAAAAAGCAAGCCAACCTGCCTGAATTGTTGAGGTCAATACCACCAAGGGTCAGGTTCACTTCACTCCCTTTTTGAGGAATAGCACTCTGATAAAATAAAAATACAGTGGGTGAAGGTTAATAGTAAAAAATGGTGCAACTATGCTGGAACGGTGGGGACTAGACTTCCATAATTATGATATTTGCCACCATTGATAGTAAAACATATGGGAACGCAAATTAAAAGATGCAATACCTATCATACACAGAACTACGTACCGGATCGCTTCTGAAGAAAACCAGTGATGTTCTAGTTAGAATAAACCACCTTTTCTTCCAGGATGTCCATCCAATTCCTGCACAATGGGGTTAAAAGATATAACTCACGAGTGAACCAAGATCCTCAGAATAGCAGAGAGAAATGCATATTTAAATGCTCAAAGTACAGAAGTTTTCAAAAGAAAAGACTTCGTTTTCTTGATTGGATCCTAGAAAAAGTGACAATATGCATACATAATATATGCAGTGTCTAATCAAGTAAGTAAAGAAATGCTTCTCTCTGTGTATTATTTCTTTCTATGACAGTGCAATGGCCTAGCAGGACAAAACTACAAATTAAAATAAAGACCAAAAACAGACCAAATCCCACTTGGATGATACTAAAATCAGAAAAAAGACAATCATCATAAATAAAAGGTCATTACAAGTCGATATAATCAAGTCATAATTCATCATAGAAAAACACTTACCTTTGGATGAAATGAAAAGCGGTCCGCTCTTGAAAATCTGCAACATAAATTTTATTATACTTTGAACAAAAGAAGCAACAGACTCTTATCCATGAAGCCAAACCACAAGTTGATACGATTTAAATAACCTACCTGATCATTAATGGTGAAATGATCTAATAATTGATCATTAAATCTTAATCTTGTGAGAGAGAGAAAGCGTGAAAAAAGGAAAGAAAAAATTACCGCATTGCCACCGTGAAAACGCAGATTTTCAAGCTGTCCTGGTGCTGGAGGTGGAGGTGGAGGAGGAGGACCGCCATCTCCCTGCATAACACCACACAAATACGTCATTTCGAATCACCTAGTGAACCAGAAGAAGGAAAAAAACAAAAACAAAAAACATACAAATTATTTAGTAAATTCACCTTAGAAGATTCTGTGTTTTTGTTGGTAGTCATCACATAATCGTCCAAGAATCACAAAACCACATAATGTACCTTGTTTGGACGTTTGAAAAAGTAAATTAAAAAGAAAGGGAGAGGAAGAGGGTAGATAATAAGGAGCGAGATAGAGAAAGAGAAGGAAGCGTGAAGAAGGGAACAGAGAGAGACTTCAGTTTTTTTCCTGCTCTTTTGTTGCCTCCTGTGTGATGGTAGTGATCGTGATTTTTTTTTTCCCCCGTCTCTATCTCTTTCTCGCAAATTTGTTGGGTATGTTTGGGGGAGGAGAAATGAAATTCCAACGGAAACCCGGTGGTCAAGCAAAAAAAGAGGAGGTCCAAAAGAGAGCGAACGGGGCCCGCTAATATGCTGAGCTTGTACACGTCACCCTTTTTCTTCTACCTCTCTCTTTCATCGGAACGTGTTGGAGGGAAATTATGGAAATTAGGAAAGGACGCGGACAGTAGGACACGCTCCTTATACTCAGAAATTTTCAACTCATGTGACTGTACTACTGTCTGGGTGTTCTTTATTTTTTGTGTGTTAAATCTGACTGTCCAATTTCTTACAAGGTAAATAATCCTCGTTTGTTTTATGTAATCTGTAGTTGTTTGGCTAGTTATATTTTAACATGTCTCTCATTCTGTTTATTTGTTTGTTTTTTCTTAAGTTTACCCAATGATTATTACAGCAAGTTGAATTGGTTGGTGCGATGGGTATGATTTACAACACGTAAATCATGTCCTTAACATGTGATGATAAATAGATCATCAAACAAGAAAAAACTATGCCTGCATAATACATACATACATAAAAATATTTTTATTATGTTTTATAGGTACGAATATAATTTTTTTTATTTTTTATATCCACCTCTCTTTTTTAAATAAAATCATAAAATAATTATTATATATGCTATTAGTTATTTTTTTGTATTATAAAATTTTTTAAGGAGAAATGCCTATTTATAGGGTCAAGGATTGGAGGTAAAGATTACTCGGTAATTTGATTAATTGCAATTAATTTTTATTTTATTTTTTTAATGAGTGCTTGTCATTAGTTGAATGTGAAATTAATTATATGGATTTCATAAGGTTTCACTTAATAAATCACTCAAACCTTTTTATTGGAACTTGATTTTTCATTTTGAGAGAAGGAGCGAAAAGAAATAAAATGGGAGCGCTGGAGATGTTGGATTGGATTGGATTGAAAAACCTTGTACAGTCCAGTCGTGACGTCAATCGTCAAACACGACATGCAGAGATATATGTATACATATATTTTTTGGGTAAAGAAAAAAGCCAGCAGCATCATCAAAGAGGAGCCTCAAACCCGGAGGAGGAGAATTCCAAACCAAACTAGGAGAATTCTTGGGAAGCACCAAGCCAAGAAATCGGCGGCATAATTCCTTTGGCGAAGACATCAAACACGACAAGCAGATACCAATCATGATGGACGTCCTGTTAAAAATAAATGAATAAATAAATCCATGATGGCAGTGGAAGAATGGAGTGTAATAATTGGTGGCGTTGATCTTGCTGCAAACAGTGGCCCCCCGAATTCCCAATTGACTCGAAAACGGCCATGAAGTGCAACAGTCACGCCACTTGTGTGATGTCTTGATGTCTCTGTTCCAACCCAACTAAAAGGCCAAACCATCATAGATGGCCCATCGATTGACGAGCACCCTAGTGCCTAAACTACATCATTTACAGGTCACCCTTTGATTGAGGAATGTTGTCCCCTTTTTACCCTTAACGCCCTTTGAAGAATTATAGTAAACAGTAAATTGGATAGCGTATGGTGATTTACCGGAATAGCTGGGCCATTAATGTTTTTTACCATTTTCCTTTTTCTTAACAAACGCAAACGCCTAGTGTTATTTTTCCTTCTTCTTTTCCCCCGGTTTACAAGGAAATAATGGAGATTAGTGGCGATCGTTTTCTGGTTGGGATAGGGAGGTGTTAAAGCAACATCCTATTTATTGTGATATTCCATAGGCCACTTGCTCTGCGGTGAGCAGGGCCAGCCCGACTTCAAAAGTTTTTAACTGTCAGGATCAAAATAAAGCCCGTACAAGAGGAGTTGCATTTATGTTGGGTTGGATTGGATTAGCAGATTGGTAGACCATTATAGATCAGCCTATCGCGACCTACTAATGACAAAATCGAACCTCCACAATTGCGTTAACAGTTTTTTTTATTGCTGGCAACTAGCTTGGAGCATCACAAGTTTCGATCAAGTTTTGTTTTTAGTTAATATGGTGATATTATTTTTTCTAGCTGGAAATATTTTTTTAAAATGTTCACAGGCATAACTAATCTTTCGTCATTTGAATTTGTCCCATCAATTCGTATTAGCCTTTAGATTGATAAGAATTCGTTTTTATTATTTAAAAAAAAAATCATAAAATTGATAGTTTGGGATGGTAAATTTAAATTTAGAATATATATATATCTCTCTCTGATTATAGGTGCGTTTAACTCCAAGACTAGACTTTAGTTGTAATTTAACTATAACTACAGTAATGGTTAAAAATGATTTGAAGATCTGTTAGAACATGAGTTATAAATAAAATAGACAAACACAATTATATATATGTGTTTGTATTGACGACTTTGAAAGAGAATGTTGTTATTTTACACCAATGCCACTCCATACAATTGTAAATAGCCAATCTATCTCAATCAAAGGCAAGCTTTAGGAAGCTCAAGATAAGTTCTTCATCTCACAAAAGTTCTCTACAAACCCTTCATCTCTCATTTAGAAAATTAGAAAGCCCATGTGTTGAGCAACCACCCTCACAAAGCCTAAAATTTGTAACTTTCAATAATAACCAAGATCTTATACAACTCTCTTGAAAGTATTTTATTTATAATTTTATTGCTTTGTATTTACATTAATCAATGGCTTTGGCTTTGCCGCCCATCTTTATTTTCTTTTATTTACATACATTGTAGTAATTATGATTGATTCTCGTCGGTCGTATTTTTTAGTTTTATATATTTATATTGTAATTTTTTTTATATTATTACATTGTTACATTTCATTTGTATTAATATTGACCACTCATCAATTGATCCTTTATTTTCTTTTATTATTATTCATTATTTACACTCCGATCCTTTATTTTTTACATTAATATATGAATTAATATAAATAAAAGTATCAAAGTGTAAATGATGAATAATAATAAAAGAATATAAAGGATCAATTAATGAGCGATCAATATTAATGTAAATGAAATACAATGTAACAATGTAATAATATAAAAGAATTGCAATGTAAATAATACAAAACTAAAACATACGAGCGACGAGCTAACCACGATTAATGTAATGTACGCAAATAAAAAAAGATGGGTGAAAGAGCCGACCATCGATGAATGTAAACATAAAGCCATAAAATTGTAAGTAAAATTTATATTAAAACAAAATACTTGCAAGAGAGTTTGTACAAAATCTTGATTAATATTAGGAGTTGCAAATTTTGGGCTTCATGGGATGGTTGGTCAACATACGAGCTTTATAATTTTCTAAAGGAGAGATGGGGGTCTTGTAGAGAGCTTTTGTGAGATAGAGAGCTTTTTATCTCGAGCTTCTAAAAGCTTGCTTCGATTGAGATGGGGTGGCCTTTTTATAGGCCTTTAGAGTGGCATTGATGTAAAATAAGAGCATTCTCTTTTAAAGTTATGGTGATTACTTCCTTGAAATGGAATTTGGTGATGTAAGAAATTATGTAAGTTGAGGTGATGTAAATATGACATCATTATTTATTTATTTATTTATTGTTTGAATGGGGAAAGTATTCCAAAACAATTATCTTCATTGTTATCTTCGAGATCAATTAATGACTCGAAACTAAATTTTTTTGTGATTCATCGAATGGCTCCCGATTAATTGATGCATGATAGAAAAATATTCTTCCTTTGTTTTGGCTTTAGCTAGGAGAACACTAGCTTGAGATTTTTGGGTTAGGAAATTTGTGTGCATGCCATCGACAATTTCTTTTCCTTTATTTTGTGGCCTTTGCGAGGATAACCATGTTTCAACCATTGCTTTGCCAAATTAAGCAAATTTATCTCACTATTTTACCTTGGAGGTTTTAATAAGAATGCGAGTAAACACATTAGGATCATTGTTGATTGTATTATATGTCTTGAATGAATATTCTCAAGAGAAAACCCGGGGACAAAGAATTTTATCATATATAAACAAAGGTGAGGAAAGGTTGATTCAAATTTTATAGAGGTATATTTATCTTTGAAGGTTATATAACCTCAGCAAGTACTTGTTTATAGAATTCATGGAGTGGCACCAATCCATTTCCACTAAGAAATGAATCAAAAGGGACGAAGGTATTGGGTTTTGGTATCGAAGAAAATTAGCAAAAAATGTTTATTTGGTTTGTTTTAGATACGAAAAGTATTGTACCAAGCTTGTTTATAGTCTTAGTATGTATATGTAAGGATAAAAGATAGGTTTTGCGAAAATATGGCTTGAAATTTCTTTAGGATATCAAGGCCTTGACCCCAATCCATTGGGTAGATAACGTTTTGGATGTTGACGGTGGAGTAGGCGGGGTTAGCTCTGTCTTGGGCGATGTAGAAATGTGTAATTTTCATGGATTTTATCTTAATGGTTATGAATTCGTTGTAAACTTGTGGTTTGGAGAGGTCTCGTGGCTTGTAATGCTAGTTTTGAAGAAATAAGTTTTTAGCTACAAATAAATACCATCGTAAAATTTATCTTCAATTGTCAAAATTGTTTGATAAAAATCTTTTGTCATGTGTTGAGAATGAGGATTTTGGGAAGAAGTCACATTTGGAAAAACAATTGCGGAAATAGATCTTAAAGGAAAACTTAGACATTCTTAGATGTTTTTTAGAAGCAACAATTTTCTATCAATTATATCAATATTTTTGTACATGGGCTATTGAGTACACGTTAAATATAGATCAATAGATCAATCAAATTACAAAGAGTTAGAATCTCGAATTATAAAATAACGATCAACCAAATAAGTAAATAATGAAAGTAATGAGAAACATAAGCAAGTAGTACTAACAAGATGCAAATCAAACGATAACCAAAGTGATGATCAAAGTCCAAAAAAGTAGAGTTTTAGATAATGTTTAACGTGTGAATAAAAAGAGTTACGAGAGAGAGAGAGAGAGAGAGAGAGAGAGAGAGAGAGTTATCTTCTCAATTATGCAAGACTAATATTTTATAGTTAGAGGAGAATAACCCTTGATTGATAGAATTGTACCATACTATCTATAATCTGGACGATCACATTTGAGTTGAAAAAAGTTAGACTATTTTGTGTTAAATTGTTTCAACCTATTAGAAATTTTTTAAAAAACAACAATCAAAATTTCTTTGAACGAGTTTGCTTTGAACACACTAAGTCAATTTTTTTTTATGCTTGTAAAAAAAATATATGGGCACTAGTCTAATTAAAATGCATCCGTGTGTTCTTTATTGGACGAGATCTATCGTCCATCTATTTATTATATGGTTTGACCCCATATTAAAAAAAAAAAAACTCGAATTAGTGCATAATAAAATTAACTAAAATTTTAATTAATTTTTGTGCACAAATTGAATATATACAATGCTATTTTGTTTTTTCATGAAAATTCCTATTACCGAGTTAACTTGTTTTTCTTTTTTGAGAATTCGATTACAATCACTATAGATAAATTATAGAGTCTAAATAGTCACGTACAAATAATTAAGAAAAAAAGAACACAATAGTTTGTTGAGAGTTTGAAAGCTGTATGCTATCGTATTCACGTGACGACAAAAAGTTGCTTGTGTTATTTTTTATTTTAATGCATGTCTAGTTTTATATAAAAAAGAGTTCGAAATTTTATTTTTCAAGAAAGAAATTTTTTTGCGAGACGTCAAAACCGAGAAAATCAGCATATATATTTTCCTTAAGCATACTTAAGTGTTTTTATAGGTTTTTTTGGGATTTATTTTAATTTCTCTTTTTAAAATTTTCCATCATAAAGCTAGAATTTTACACGGAAGGAAATTTGAAAATCGCTAAGTTTGCTATTGCTAAGATTTAATTTTTTTAAGAAGCTCCATTATTCAATTTTAAGAGTGTATTTAAAGGTGAGTTTAACATAATAATTTTAAAATATTCTGTTTTTAAATATTTTAGGTTAAAATTCTCTCATAAAAACACGGAATAGATAAATTATTTTCATGACGTGTGCTATGTTTTTGTGAAAAAAACTGAATAATATCTAATAATTTATGTAACATATCATGTTTGAAAAAGCCATATTTGAACAGGTGAACTCCCCATTTTACTATTCATTTGAACAATTTTTTTTTTGTTTTGTTTTTGGCTTGAGTTTTTTTCCCATTCTTTTTTAATTTCCACTCTTACTTATTTTCTTATTTTGTTTTAAATTATCAAATTATTTTATTTTATCTTTTTAATTTTCACCCTTAGTTTTTAAATTTTTTTTGAATTATTTCATTTGATCCCTAAAAATTTAAAATAAAAATTTTAATTCCTAGCTTATGCATTATATATCTTTTTTCTTTGGCTTTTTTCCTCATCGATTTATTTTTTTATTTGATTGAGTGTAAAAAATGTTTAAAATCGATCGTTATTTGTTTTTTTCAAATAGGTGATGATTTACTTTATCCTCACATTATACTACTCAATCTTATTTTTTTTTCTTTTTTTTTTTTAAAATTCTGCTATTACTTTTTTTTTTTTTACTCTTACTCTTACTCTTATTGTCTAAAATTTATTTTTTTAATTATTTGGAGTGTTGAAATTTTTAAAAATTGATCGTTATTTTTTTCCAAACGAGGCTAATGATTTACTTTACCTTCGCATTATACTACTCCGTTTTAGTTTTTTTTTTCCTTTTTTTTTAAAAATTTTACTCTTAATTTTTTTTCTTAGTTTTTTTTTTAAACTTTTACTCTTATTGTTTAAAATTTATTTCTTCACTTATTTGTTTCTTATTAAAATTTTAATAAAATTAATTTTTTAATATAATTTTATTTGTTGATAAAATTTTAAAACATTGATGTTTTTTAAAATATATTATTATAGTTTATGCAATATATTATTTTTATACCTTTTAAATGAGTGTTTTATTTTTTAAAACATATCATTATAATTAGTATGAACAGTGAACCATCACCTGAGTACTCGTTCATTTGAACAGCTTTTTTTTCCTTGAGTTTTTTCCCCCTTCTTTTTTTTATTTTTCAATCTTACTTATTTTCTCTTTATTTATTTATTTTTTAATTATTATTTTTCTTTTTAATTTTCACCTTTGGTTTAAATTTTTGTTTTTGAATTATTTCATTTATATCCCTAATTGTTTTTTTAAAAAAATTTAAATCCGTAACCGATGTATTATACGTCATTTTTTCTTTGTTTTTTTCCTCATTAATTTATGCTCTTTTTTATTTGATTGAGTGTTAAAATTTTAAAAAATCGATTGTTATTTTTTTCCAAACAAGTCGATGATTTACTTTATCTTCACACCATATTACGCAATCTTAGTTTTTTTTTCCTTTTTTTTTTAAATTTTTACCATTACATTTTCCTTATTTTCTTACTTTGTTTTACAATTTTACTCTTATTATTTCTTTAATTATTTGTTTCTTATTAAAATTCTAATCAAATTAATTTTTTGACCCTCAACCATACTACTTAATCTCAGTTTTTTTTCCTTTTTCTTTTTTTAATTTTCACTCTTATTTGTTTTCTTATTTTCTTAGTTTTTTTAAAATTTAAAATTATTTATTATTTATTTTTTTTTAATTTTCACCCTCGATTTTTTTTCCTTAGGTTTTATAAAATTTTAGAATTTTTTCATTCGATCCCTAAATTTTTAAAATAAAAATTTTAATCTCTAGATGATGCACTATATATCTTTTTTTTCTTTGTTTTTTATATATATATATAGCGATTTTGCTCAATATGTAAATTCAATTTACATTAATCATCGAAAATAAAACTTTTATTTACGAGTATACCATATAAATCGTTAACACTATATATATAATGGGTGTCCGATCGTAACGTAAGCACGGATATCCATCTAGTTAAAACCTAAAATCAATGGACAAGAATATTTCCATATATCATAAAGCATGAGTCAATTAATAAACTCGTGGTATTGAATATGGAATTACACGTCATCCGAGCTTTGCCTCCGGTCTTAAGACCATCTTGCTGTCAGATATTTTACCACGTCACTTCCTCCATTGATTAAAGGTGATTAAAGGTAGATAAACACCAAGTTGAAACGTTGTACGGTAGTGGATTTAAAGTTAAAACACGAATTAATACGTGCGCTGTGAAACATGAGAGCATCAGCTGAGCCGTGCAATTGGGATCAAAACTCCTCCAATCCACGGAACCAAAAACCTAACGTTACCTCGCCAAATATATAAAATCAACTTTAAATATATATAAAAATAGAAAAGTAAAGGAAAAGGTGCCCCACACGGCGGCTCCAGCAATAGCTATAGTCCGTTCTTTTGGCCTCTCCTCTCCTCCGCAGTCATCCATCAATCCACATATACAACAAAAAAACAGACGCCTCCACAGAGAAGTAAAAAATATATATAAAAAAGCAAAAATCACAGGATGTCGAGTCCAGACACTGCAAATTCTTCCTCAGAAAACCGAAGAGAAACAGTTTCTCGGATCCCTATGCAACACGAGTTATTGTTTTAATTTCTTCTAGGGTTTGGACTTCGAGAGACAACAAATACTAGTATAAACTCTAAAAAGAGAGCTGATTCTGTGCGCGAATTGAATTCCACAGCATGGAAATCGCGGTTTCCAGTCCGATATCTTCGTCGGCTGTGGATTTGGGGGAGATAAACAGCAAAATAGACAAGGATCAGGTGCGCGTGAGGAGAAAAACCTTGGAGGTGGTACTGGAGCAGTGCCAGAGAGCTCTTGAATTGCTAAATAACACTGACGGCGTTGACGATTACGACGACGACGACGGAGATACCAGTGGCACGAAATCAAAGGAAGTGGAGTCTTTGCCGAGCCGAGACAGCTCATTAGCTTCGCTTGGCGATCGAGAAGCTGACGAGGTAGAGTTTTGGTTAATTTTGGCTTACTTTTCTAAATTCAGGTCATAGGTTTTCGATTACAAGAAAACTTTGTTTAGCTATAATTAATGATCTCGATAAATGTTTTTTTTCTTGAAAAAACAAATTGGATGCTGTGAATTACTGGAGTAAATAAATATATGATAGAAGAGAAAGTATTGCAATTTGCTTCTTAGATGTTTATTTTTTTGCTTTAAGCAGTCGATTTATTTTAACTTTATTTCTTTTTTTGAAAGTTGCGCAAGCGAAGGAGACGATTAGTGTTTCTTAGACTACTAATTTATTTGGATAATATGTACGCAATCGATATGGTTATGGTTGAAGATTCCATTGGTATTTCCTTGATTTACATCTTGGCATTTGTCGGAATTTGTTTGGCTGTTTTATTTGATTGAGTTGCAAAATCGAGTTTTATTTAGATACCTGTGTCTCAATAAGACTTCAATTACTTCGTTTTCAAAGTTTTTTCCCCCTTAATGCAGTTATGCGACCTCCTCAAATCGAGAGTTGAATGCCCTGACTTCCTTGAGAAGCTAGAGTGTGCTCAACTGTCAGTTTCACATAACATTAGTGGTAAGTGCTGAAAGACGGTTCGTGCTGTAATATAGCCGATCTGTTGTTCTCTTTTGCTTGCAAATTTTGATTTCGATGTTGAAGTTTAGTGTTAGGCACGTCAGTGTTTGGATATCTAGGATAGTTGTTTCCTCCTTGTAGCTTAGATGCTGATGATTTCTTGTATGGTATGGCAGAAGAAGGTAGTTCTTGGGACATGATCGATGAGAATGATCTGTGGGAAGGTGAAAATGATGGATCAGATGAGGAAGATTATGTTCTTGTCCGACAAGAAGATATCGTAGAAGGTATCGCTTGCTTCATGGCTGCCTATTTGTTGTCCCTTAAACAGACTAAGGTATGTGATTTTGTTAGTTTTTTATACCTTTTTCACCATTGTTGAAGTAATAAACTATGCTAATATTATGATCTGCTTTGGCGTTTTATACCATCAGCCTTTTGCCCCACCTGCTGTATCTGTAACACACAACAATTAGGCGAATGCTCCAGGCTCAGTTAATTCCCAAGAATTTGTAAAATTTTACACTCATTTATTCCTCATATGTCAGTACTTTAAAAAACATGGATTTATGTATGCATGTGCACAGGCACTAACATAAACATGGATACACGTAAAATTATAGAACATTGAGGGGCAATGATATTAGTGAATAAGGAAGCTGTTGGAATCAACAATTTATATCTTCCTTAAGGAAGAAACCTTATAGCATATGTGCATGGTGGCAGGAAACTAATGGATATCATTAGAATGAAATATCTTGTTTGACCACAGTTCACGGCTGTTTGATTTCTTGATGCAAGATTTTCGAGTACTGAACCATGTTTGTTGTATCACCACAATGAGTTGCCTTTAATCTGCTGTAGGCTGTAAGGAACTTTTTTGGTGTTTTCGGTGCTATAACAAATACAGATGTTTTGTCTGATATTCTTACTTGGGTACTTTCTCTTCTTGCAGGACATGGCCCCTATGCAACTCCAGGAAGGTCAGTTCAAAACTTTTCTAATAAATTTTCAGTCCTGTTCCGAGTACATTTTATTCTTCATCAGTTTCCTTTTCAACACTTTGTGCAAAAGAACCCTGACATCTCCTGTTATATTTCTTTTAGCCCTTAGCAAGACATTCTCAGTAAAAAAGAAAAAAGGAAAGCTTAAGAAGGCATGGGATGGAAGCAAGGTCATTTATAATGTAGCATCTTGGGGAGCTACTGCCATTGGGTAGGCTATCTAATTTAAATCGTTATTAATTTAGTGTTGTTTCTTTCTTGTATTGGTCATACGATTTATCTTTCTTGATTTCTCCTCTTTTTGTGTGCACGGTTTTCTTGTACATGATATCGCTCAATGCTTTGTTGTGTAAAAATTTCTGTAGCATTTAGTCAGCATTTTTACATTCTCCTTCAATGATATTTTGACATTGATATGATGATCATCCAATTGGTATTGGAAAGAAATTTTTGCTGATCTTTCCAAACTTTTTTGGTTTATCTACTTGGCAGGTTATATCAAAACCCTGTACTCTTCAGGGCTGCCTCTAAAGCCTTCTGGACTTCCTGTCATGTTATATCCAAGCTTGTCTGATGTCCTTGTTACATGTTGCGATCCACTGTTGTACTTATGCGTGTGCTGCCATTGCAGCTTGGAGTTTCACTTGTATGCCATTCTTTTCATGCTACAGATCAATTGATTTCTCTGACATGATTTAATCTGTAAATATTCTTCCCCGTGAAGTATTTCTGATTGCCAATTCAAATTCGTTGGTAAGTTGAAATCTTGTTAATTCTGCTCGTTATCTTCCCCTGGACTCCCTTCCTAAACTGCACTATGGACTTTAATGAACAGAAATGTGGTCCACATGTGCTCCGATGTTTCAGTGGATGCTGATTAGAAATTCCGAATTTTCATTTTCCGTCTTTTCTGGTGTAATGAGTTTGCTTGGTGATGAAAACGAATGTTTTGGCTGTACAAATTGGTTTGGTCACATTACTTGAGCAATGCTGGCGTCTTCTTATCGGTGCCTTTTTATGGGAAGCTAATTGAGCTTTTATATTTCATAGATCGTAGAAAATTAGTAGCTCTTCCTCCCCCAACACCTGACTAAGAAGCCTGTTTCACAAGCAATTGTTAAAACCTCTACAATGACGTTTTCTTCCTTCTCTTTCTGATTTTGAAGGTTTGTGCTTTATCTGTTGGGTGAAGTTCCTCTAGTTTTGCGTTATAGCAACAGAGGAAGACTTGATAGCATATGACTCCATTTCACGATTCCAACTTTAGATGTGCGGCACCCTCTGTTGATCATCTGGAAATTAGCCTAAAATTGATTCTTCTATGTTTAATTTTCGGGTTAATGGTTGCAAGAGGTTTTTCTATATTTTTTTATTTATTTTTTTATCATGTCATTCTATTTTTTTTTAATCTTAAATTCATGTCTTTTATGTTTGTTTTTTGTCTTAATCTCGCATTTTCTTTTAACTTTTGGACAAACGTGTTTATCCAGTCCATTTTTTAAAAAAATTGAAAATGAAAAAAAATGAAGATAAAAATATTCTTTATGAATTTAAATTTGTCTCTGTGATAGTAAGTAAATTTTGAATATGAGATATAATATTTATAGTATTTTTTTTTAATAGTAGGCAAACTCTATTTGTTTTTCTTTTTTTTAATTTTTAGAAAGAATGAATAGATATATCTTCATTTTTTAAAAAAAATCATTTATTTAAACTTGATAAAAAAAAGCTTTATTGAAGAAAAAATAGAGTTGAAGGATGAGATTTTATAAAAAAAAACAAGTTAACGAAGTCCAAAAGTTGACAGAAGGATGAGATTGAAAGATAAATCTGACTTAGAGAGATAAGTTCAAGACAAAAAAAGAAAGAAAAAAGTGTAGAGGAACCTCTGCAATCATTAATCCTTGAACTTTCTGAAAGCATCGTTGCTGTTTTTACCTTCGTTCTATTTTCTGAAGTTCTGAGTTAAGTTGACCAAGTATCTTTCAGAGCCAGAGGCATTTGAACTGTAGGACAAAGTAAATTTTCTAGTACAGAACAGAATCAGGGTTGATTTACCTACCGAAGACTTTAAACATTTAAGACGATTTATTTCTACATAGAATCGCACATTCCTCATCTTTCTTTACGGTCCAATTTACGAGATCTTGTAGAAACTGGGGAAGCCTATAGGAAGAGGAAGCTAACCTACGGAAAAACCATTCGAACGATATGAAAATGGGATTATCTTTGTTTGTTTGCCATTTGATGTCACAAGCTATGCTTTCGTTGGAAAAAAGCTAACAAATGCCATCAGCTTGTTACCATTATCATTTCTTTAAATCTGAGCTGAAGCTTCTAGTTCGAGTACCAAAATTTTGGCAAAGTGCAACGAGTTCTTGTCAAACCGTTCAAACTCCATAGGTTCAACGGAATCGCAGGTGGCAATAGAAAGCTATAAGATTATACATGTGGAGATTACAAAAAGAATGTGTAATATAGACTTCCTGATGTGCTCTATACAATTTATATAATAATACTATAAAAACAGAAACAGAAACCCCGCCATGGAGGGTGCGAGCTTGCGAATTTTGAGCAGCCAAGTTTCGTGCTCTCGAGACAAAATTGCTGTAGTGAGAAGCGCATCATATTCCTGACGGTCATATTGCATCAGGCCAATGAGATCATCTCATCTCGTGGATGCCTTGCATATTTCAGGTTGTCTAGATCATCTCTAGACATAATATGCCTTGCATATTTCATGTATGCCTTACAACAGCACCATCAACTACAAAATAAAACCATCGATTAATAGTAATAGGTACTGTCTTTGTGATTTGGAGCATCCTTGCAGAGCATTGACCGGACTTCCATGATTGATCTAGGAGGTTCAAGGTCTTTCTCCAGCAGTGCATTTCCAAGCAGCTGCTGCATGTGTGAGGCAAAGGTATCATCCAAGACCTGCAAAAAGATAAAAGGTGAAGATAGGATGGAAAAGAATATAACTATGGAACTTCGTTCATTTAACTGAAACAGGAAAGTTGCTAAAGCAATACTTACAGAAACTGCAATTCGGGAACCTTTATACCATGATCGATTCTCTTTCCTGTTTTCCAAGAAGCTCAGAACATCCTATGATGCAAGAAAAAATAAGGGTTCAGCAAAATTACTAACCCAAAATAAAAAATAAAATTAGTGATAGGTGTCTCATAAAATTACCTGCCCCATTCGATCCCAGTAACCTCGACTGATTGCAACAAAGACATGAGTCTCAAAAACAGATTGCAGGTGGGTAATTGTGTTTGTCAGCTGGTCTTTCAGTGGCTGCATCCTACTTCGAATATCAGACTCTACCATAGATTCCTTTGATTCTTGGAGAATCTTCTTCAATTTTGTGGGATTCTGTAATTTGGTCTGTATGCAAATAAATAAGTAAATACCAGACCCATTGCATCAGTAGCTAATCAAAGTCTCAAGAACACAAAACAATAATCAGGCATTAAAGAACAAACTCTTAGTTGCATCCCATTGATGTAAAAAGACAGTAATTTAAGTCTAAATGTAAAAGATACTGACATTCTCTGCTAGCTTTTCTACGACAGCTTGAAGATAACTTCTAAATTTGGCTCTCAGCATAACAGTCACTTCACTAAGACGCTCTCCAGGAGCAGTGTTTCCACCATTAGGTATGCATGAACCCCATGCCTTAAATTGAGTTTCTATTTTGGGACGCAGGATATCAAGCATCCTCTTCATGGAATTAAGCAGAATTCCAAGCTGAAAAGAATAAAAATTGCAAATCATAAGAATATTGCATAGCTAAAGGAAGATAAACACTGAAAGAAGTAGCTCACCTCATCAGGGACAACATATGAACAAACAGAACGTTTGGTGAACTTCTTCACATACTTGAGGCCAAATTTCTTAGGTTCCAAGTTCTCCTTCAATGGTGCTAGAACGTCCGTATATTGCTTGTCCAAAGCTTCCACTATGGCCTTTTCGACATCAGCAATAGCCTTTTTAGAGCACAGCCCACATACACAAAACAGGTTCAGTAAATATCATTATTATTTCATTTTCAATTTGGCAAAAAAAAAAAAAAACAGAGACCTGCTACCTATGATCAAATCACATGGATCCATGGGAGGGAAGGAAAGAAAGAAAGAAAATATGAAAGAGCCAAAAGAGCTAACCAAGAAGTTCCATATAAAACAACATATGCAGCTACACACACACATTGTTACCAATCACCCTCTTTTATCTCACTTTTACTTTAGTTTATACACAGGCAATATTATCATACTTGGGCGTTTTGATCCTTTATCCCCGGAGGCATGCACAGAAAGCTAGGATAGCTCAGTGCCAATCACATGAGACCAAACACCTTGGGGACAAAGGTTCAAAGATTTCATAGATGGATAAACAGCCAAATCATATTCTAAGTAAACTCCCTGAAAAAAAACAGCCAGCACACATATATTGCACAGGAATATTCAGTCCATAAGAGCATATGAAAAAAATTGAACAAAATTACTTCATTATGAGACCCTAGAGATTGAAAAAATTGCAGACAATAATTTGATTGGTAAATCTAAAAAAGTATGTTGGATCTACATGACTTTAGATGTTTAATGTGCCTTATAAGCCACTTTTGCAAGCAATCGGCATAGATACACAACAAGCATATGTCAACAAGGGTTGAAGAAACAAGAAGACAACATCATGGGAAAAGAACCAATCTAAGCTTACATTCTCTAGAACAAAGATATATTCTGGCCATCTGCAAATAATTACTTCATACTGTTCCAGTGTATCTCTGAGGCGGTCATACATGTCATCTACAAAGGGCGTTGTCGAGTGTTGCGTCCGTACACCCGACCATTTTACCTGCAATTAAATAAGCTTTTGAGAATTTTCCAAGCACAATCTTCCTGAAACAAACATGAAACGTAGTCCCATATAATATTCTTAAAATATGTACATTGTAAAGAAAGAAAAAATAAAAAGATTTGTAGATCACCTTCATTTTAGGCCCACAGAAATTGAAGGCAACTGAATCCCACACAAATTTTCTTTACAAATTAAACATTCAAATGCGATATGGTGATTAAGTTTGGTACATGAACCATTACAAACCTTGTTGTGAACTAAGAAATGCACCATCACTTACCAAACTTAGGTTCCAAGTTATTTGTAAAGACAGCTATTTGTGGATGGAAAACAGTACATAGATATAATTATATAGTTAACTGCATACCTTGTCTAATTTGCAAGATTCCAGCAAAGAAAGGCGCTTGTCTTGTATCCATAACATGATATACAGATGAAACAGTTCTTTTGCATCCACTCCTCCTTTCACAGGACTAGAAAAAAAAATAAGAAATAAAATAAACAGTATAAAATGATCCGAAAACAATGTAAAAACCAACAATGTTGCCTCAAGGATAGCACTACCTAATGTTCCAGCTGGCAAGGTCCCTCTGAAAATCAGCTGTTGCAATAACAAGTTCAGCTACAGGGGGTGAAGGACCAGATGGGGGGCATGCAAGCAAGAAAGCACGCAATCTACTACAGAGCTCTGTACTGTATATTGACGAAGATAAATTTGGAAGGTCTATGAAACTGCAGGAAAAGAATCTCAAATATCAGATCCTTGCACGTCTGACATTCGATCACCAAACTGTCAAGCATGAAACCATCCAAACATATACATTTTCTTAAGAGATGGCATTGGATACACGAATAATAGATCAAAAAACTTCATTCAATTAAGGTACCAAAATTGCACACAGTAGTAACAAATCTAGAGATTTCTAATCAAAGCACAAACACCTGAGAAATAATTAAGCAACTGTTCACAAATATGACATCAGAAAAGAAAAAAAAAAGGGTAATTGCCTATATCATTATTCAAAGAAAAGAATACCTGGGAAGTATATGTTGATTGTGGATTTCGATGTCAGTTCGAATTTCATTTTTAATGTTCATACAAAGAGAACTCATCTTCTGATAAGCAGTGGATGTAGCAACAGCATCCATCAATGTTGCTTCATTACTGCTGTTAACAAATTCATCCGTCTCGGTCAAGTGCCTTCTTGATCTTTTCTTGGCAGCAGCCTGAAGAAACTACCTCTCAGTTATAAAAAGAAATTAAAAACATATAACAAAGGTCAGTACACGAAAATTCTCATTGCACCTGGAAATAATGAGTAAGATTTGTTTGTGCCTCTGGGGACAGTATGTCATGAAGAAGAGTATAAAGCTGCACGGCAGGTTCCAAGGCGGGTGCTGCAAGCCCAGTTGCAGGCTTGAACACATCCATGATACCTGACAATGATGATTCATCGAGAGACTTGTAGTTCTCAAAAGCCACAGAAAGAAGCTGTTCAATCTGATCCTTGATTTCTCCTAGGATTCGGTTCTGGTGAAGCAGCCAGCAATACAGAATCATACAAACATAACAGCAAAACAAGGACTTGATTACCAAACAGCAACAAGAATGACAGGCACATACATCAAACTGAAAATTTCATATTTACCTCTTGATGACTCAGCATGCTCTTGCTGTGGCCCTTCATAATCACAGGCTTTAACAAATCATACACCAAGGTCAGGCAGTCAGCTGTGGGTGTAGCTACATCCATTATGTATGAAAGGTACCTGTCAACATAATATATTAGGACTACCATCCAGTGAAATAAACTATCACAAGAGAAACTAGAATTCAAAAGTAATGATGGTACATATGGCAGTCAAAAATTCAAAATCATGTCATCATTTTGATATTTTCCTCTTAGGCCGCCCAATATTCACATGAGCATCTCAAGGAACTACAAAATGGCACGAACAAAATCTGTGAATGAGTTGAATTCAGATCTTATAGCCAAACACAAGTGGCCTACCTCAGCTTGGTATAGACATCAGATACCCCATAATATGTGGCAAATTCAGCTAGGAGCCATTTCCATGAACCATACAGCAATAGATTCCTTTGTTGAAAATGTTGAACCTTCATGGCAACTTCTAGAACAAGGTCATATGCGACAGTTTCGGCCACAGAGCCACACTAGGATAAAAGAAACAGCAACCAATATCATAAAACTATTCCATAACCTTTGATATGAAGCGAGAATACCAACAAAGCACACAAAATTTACAACTAATACTACATTGAATTTACACAATAAGACGACCTCCGCCTTTTAGGTGGTGTGAGCAAAAATTTATGCTGACAAACGGATGCTTCAAATAAGAGAACTAGCCATTTTTTATATTTCTTTGGTTAATTTGCAGGCACAAGGATAGGGGAGTATTTGGTGACCGAAAAATAGTCAGAAAGAAAATCATAGATAAATAGATTCAGGGTCCCCCCTTTGTACGTAGGCAATACAACTCCTAAGGCCTTTACTTTTAGTCCTTTATAACTGGCTGATGCCTCATTGGCCTATGCACTATGCCTATAAACATTTAGTAATGACATTAAGAATTTTGAGCAACACTGCATTACTAGCTATCATTTGCATAATTAAATTGTATAAAATCTGCTTCAAATTTTACAGTCTGAAACCAATGCTGCTAGTTTCAGATACCACAAGCAACCCTCATTGTCATTTTTAAATCCTCTTTCATTCTTAACCAGTGCAATATGGTCGATTCACAATCAGCCTTGTCTTCCAGTCAGTATAAAGTCTAGTGTCGGATAGTAATTGATGTTACAGCCTTACAAGTATACAAATCTGATCAATTATGAGAGAACAGTTTAGGCAAAATTCTACTCTTTTAGAAGGCACTGACTATAGCATAGCTTTACCTTGAGATTACTGTCATCTGAACTAGTTGAGTAAATTATGTAGAGCTGCAGTTTGCCCACAAGCTCATGTTCTGGTTCTCGGTATATAGACCACCAGCGGAGCTTATCAACCTGCATCCAGTTTCAATACGAGTCTTAAAAAAAACATACTTGCTAACTGACTTTATCCAAGCTCAGTCTCTTTTATAGATCAATGTTTTGAGAAGATTACTGGGTCTTCAGCAATAGTAGCAACTTGAGCAAGGACACGGCCATAATATTTCCCTTTGGAATCCTGTACTTCAACAATTAGATCATCCCCTAGACTATCTGGAAAACTGCAGAGTTGTCAATACGTTTCACAATTAGATTTGGAAAATTATAGAAAATAAAAATTAAAAAGGTGAGTATTGGATAATCATACGTACAATACATGAGTTTCACCAGATCCAGGCTGCATCCTGATAGCATCATCTTCTGTTGAACTTTTCAGTCTCAACGAGCAGGAATATGATTCTGTTGACATTTATTAAAAAAATGCTGCTAAGAATATGAACAGTATTCAACAGGCTCAGATATTTATGCAAAGACATGAATGAAATTACCAGTTATCATTTGAACATTATAATTCTCTAGATGGATTGGGATAACATCCATATAGTTGGCAAGCCAAGCACGGATAACATTCATAAAGTCGGCAAGCCAACCACCTTTATTTGATCGAGCTAAATAGCTTTCCAAATTATTATATCTGGTCTACCTAGCCTATAAATAGCCCATCATGGTTAGTAACTCTCTGCTTGGATGACTTACTGATCAAAGAAAAGCTACTGTTGGATAACTAACTGTAACAAAATAGAATGATCCCCATGTAAAATTTCCATTGCCCACGTACAAGTTTAGAGCTTTTAACTATGCATACCTTGCACAGCTTCATATGACGATGAGCTGTTGCGTAGACTAGTTGCACCAATCTTCAGCAGTCCTGACACCTGTTTTATGTACTGAGTGCTGGCATGCACATATGCCAAGCTTTGACGTGAAAAAGAACCATTTGCAGGCACGCGAGGAGCGACACGGATTTTTCGAAATGCTCTCCAAGCAGAAGAGAGTGATGACTGCAACTTTGATAAGCGATACTGGACTGAATCGAGTTTTAGCTTTGGTGTTGAAAGAGATGAAATACTACAGCCACTGGGAGGGTCAAGACTCGTTTTCACTTTACGTACTGCACAATGAATGAGATTGAAGGAGAGCTGAGCAAAGTATTTTGATGGTGAGAATTTTGTTACTGGGATAAGTATTACCTTGCACCTTCATCTTCCCAATTATTTTCTTAGGCTTTGGGGCAGCTCCCTCACTAACAAGCTCAGAAGAGCGCTTTGCCAATAGCTCCTCTTCTGATTGCAGTAGCACATGATGTACACTGTAAGAGAACAAAAATGAAGTTTGTTCTTTATATCTCAGACACTAAACAAGCCATTGACATGCTATAGCCTATTTGAATGCAGACTTCTGAGGACTTCCATTAACTTGTAAACTTTTAAGTTCCTTCTTCTGGAGTTGGTATGGTTTAAACAGGAAAATCAATTTGTTTCAAAATTCATACCATTGCATACAAATGAAATGACCATTGCGCTTTTTTCTCTTAATTACATATTCTTACACACCAAACCTGATGAGAACGACTAGGTCGGCCCTTGAACTAATGGATGCTAAAGCATCTTGTCATAGAATATCACAAAAAGCAATTCTAACACAAAAACAGGTAGGCACAAGTGCACAGGTAAGTATGTTCTAAACCAAAACATTATACCTGTACATTACAATATATAATTGATAATACTTTCAAGGAAAAAGAATTCAGAATTTGCTGTCTCGCATTAGTATGGAGCAATAATTCAAGAATTTCAAATCTTTTTACATTCACTTTGTTGCATTTTCTTAGTCGATTAGATATTCTTCTTTTATGGGAGAAAAAGAAAAGGAAAGACAAACTCACCCAAACACCTCCCGAAGTAAAGCACATTCATTTTCCAAGAACATTGGTGCTTCCATGCAACCCCGAGCCCAGGCATGAAGGCAAAGCCGCACACACCCATCATATGCAATTACAGCATGCCATGGCCCTAATGCACTGTGTTAAATTTAAAAAAAAAAATCATTAACAATTGAATGAACAGAACAAAAGGCAAAAGAAGAAATATCAATTTTATCATCTTCGCCATCTACAACTATTGCGTTAGTTACACAATACCTCGCATGAAATGTTGGGATTCGAGCTGGGTTTGAGCCAGATGTGCCAGCTTCTGCACCAGCAGTTGCTCTGTGAATGAAGAAAAATACAGTGCAATTAAGATAAACAATTAAATAGCCCATTTCAATGAAATGCCAATAAAGGGACTCCTAAAATAAAGGGCAGTTGCATTAGTTTCAGCCAATATAGAGCCACTATTAGAAAACTTACACAAACCTTACAAACTGATCGGGTTTCTGGTCTCCAGTATTGTCCTTCGGTTCAATGCCCGTAGTGTTTTTAATTTTATTTGGATCGTTATTGGCACAGAGACCTTCTGAATTTGCAGTGCCAGCTGCTTTATGCATTCCAAATGCTATTTGGGCACCTTCTTTGATTTCCTGACCTCCAAAAAATGGAGGCGCACTGGGAATGTCATCATCATGAGAAAATTTATCATTCCTTGGGTTTCTGGAATGCAAATCCTGCAAACCAACAAGATCAGCAACTAAAGTTTGTAAAAACATGAAAGTACAAAAACCAGGAAGAAAGCTCATCCTGTAAAAATGAGTAGGTGATCAATGAAGGATGGCAAACAGAATTTATCACACCCCAGTTCAGATAAAATTGCTAAAAAGGTGAAAACAATACAAGTTCATCCAACAGAAAGTTGGAATTGCAATTAATAGAGCAGAGCATGCTCCACTGTCAAAGCAATAAGTTCCCCTCAATTAGATTGTACAACATGGACTAGAAACAATCATCCTTCAGTTTGACTCTTTAGATGCTCGTTTTAGCTTGATTTGGACAATAATAATTGTATATCGACGATATGGTATGCCAACCACGAATGATGCCTCAAATCTGCTAAGGATGGTCAACACTTTATATTTATCAAATTGGATTGCACACTTGAATGCCTAAACAGTTACTAAATCCCAATATTTCTATGCTGATTCTTCATGTAGCCTGAGCAAACTCACGGTACAGCAACCAAAGAACAACAATATGACTACAGGAATAAAACATCAGGCATTGAAGGACACATGCACATCCGAAACACACACCAATGCAGACACCACTCCAAATTACAATTAATTGAAGTAAACAAACCTTGGCAGCAACAGTTTCCACATTAGCTTGAGAAGGTGCACTCGAAGCATACCCCTCCGAAACATTCAATTTATTCCTTGGCAAAGCACTACTAACACTCCCAACTTGACTAGTAGAAAACTCTGAACTGCCTGCTGAATCCGATCCCTCGTCCTCATCCTCCGTGTAACCATTCATCCCAACAGCAGTATACTGCACATTTCTTTTAACCAACCTCTCAGCCAAATTTCCCCCTCTACCTGCCACTGTCTCCATCGAAGAACTAACATCAGAGTACCCATAATCACTGGCATATCGCGAGGTCCTTTGGGCCGCATTTCCATATCTTTGTTGATTAATGGTAGAATTGGGGAGTCTTTCGTCTTGTGGAGATGAATCAAATGAATACCGTCCACCATAAACATCATCCTCATCTGACTCTGTGACCATGTCATTGTCTGAAACAGACCGACTATCATCAGCATCGGGAGGTAGGGTCCTAGTTAACGGAATTGCCGTCGACGGCAAGTGCCCACTTCTAAATTTAGAAGTCGGAGGTAAACCAAACCCTCGGCTGTTTCTAATTGGATCAATTCTAGGTCTTAAACTTGAATGTGCGAATGCAGTAGATTCTTTCTGCTTCTCAATAAAAAAAAAGATCATTACATCTCAGTGAAATACGATTTTTAATCATTAAAAGAAAAAACATATAAGAAAATGAAATTAAATTATAAATAAAAGCATTGAGTCTGGAGATTATAATTATTACCTCTCGAGCCCAACGGCTGTCAAGTCCTTCACGGAACATTTTTGTTAACCTAAACACAGATATAGACACAAGAATCTAAATCTCAGTTTACAAAACAAACAAACAGAAACTGATAAAGATAATGTGAAACAAACGCATTGGAAACCCACAGAAGAAACCAAACCTCAAAGGTCCTGAAAGCAACGAGAGTAGACTTCAGTGAGAGGCCACTCGAGAGAGAGATAGAGAGAGAGGCTGTCAATGTGTGTGAGTGTGTGTGTGAGAAAGAGATTTGAAAGGAAATCAACTAAGAGAAGTGAAAGAAAGTGAGACGGATTTGAGAAGTGAATAGAAAACGTTTGCTTCTCATAAAAGCTTTCTTTGACAGTGGTATAATTTTTTCAGCCACTGTAAGAGACTGAGGAGACGCTCAAACTTCTTTTTGCCTTTTTTCTTTTTCTTCTCTCTCTGCAATGCAAAGCAGATATGAGAGAGAGAGAGAGATGAGGGTTTTCTTTTTCTTTATATATTTTATTTTTTTTAGATTCTCTCTCTTCCGAAGCACCCAGTAATAGACGAGGATTAATTACAACAACGCGATCAATTGATCATTATATATTTTTCTACGTTAAAATTAATTACTATTAATAAATCAGAGGCAGTAATCACTTAGATTAATTAACAAATATTCTGTATCAGGCCGATAATAAAGCACACATAAAAGAGAGATGGGGATCGTGATTCGTGAAAAAGGTAACGGGTAGAGTTGACGTGGCAAAAGAAGTCCGTTTTTTTAATTATTTTCATCAAAAATTAATTAACAATAAATAGCCGAACGTTGTAAAGTGGGGACAGGCACTCTATTTACTCTAATTTCCCGCTAACGCTAAGCATGTATATACACGACACTAAGGAATCACTCACATGGTTTGGTGGGTCCCCACGAGACCCATGACACACACTGTTCTTCTTTGGAGTGTGCCCCCAGATTAGTCCGTCGGTTCTTTGTTTGTGTTTTGTCGTGACCAAATTAATTGTAATGACCATAATGCCTATCAGCAACCGTTTGATAAACAAACAAAATGTTTACCAAACGCAGATGTCCTTACACAAGCAGCGTCACATGGTACCTCATCAGATATCAAATTTTTGACGTTGGACTTGAAAGAGGGAAAAATCGAAAGGGTTCGGGCTGGGAAAAATTCAAATAAAAAACCCATGTGCTTGAACTTGAGTGACGATGAGGACGATGAAGTTGGTCCAGGGTTGGCACAACTCGGATTTTTTTTTTTTTTTTGGCTACACAGGTGATATCATATTTGGAGCTTTTTGAATTTAATAGCGAATACCCCAGCTGTGATAAGCCCATCATCCCACTAACGTTGACGGTGGAAATCATTAGGAGAATAAACCTTTAATTTGAAATTTTTTGAACAGCTGGAAACTGGAAAGAGAAGCCCCATTTCATTTTCCATTTACCTATCTTGTTGACGTTGGGCACTAATGCGACAAAGACGGGCCACTCCAAGCTTGCCAAGGCTAGTAATTCACCAATCCAATTACATTAACCACGTACAGTATTAAGAAAATGACAGTGATCAAAGCCAGACCCCACTGCATCTCTGATGGGCATGGCCTACCGAACCCCCTACCAGTTTAACAAGGAAGGCAGAACAGATAGTCTTGTTGATGGATCAGTTCGCCCCAATCCACAAAAAGCTCCAACCGTTCAAACACGCTAACTGTCCCTCTGTGCAAATTGATTTGTAGAACTCATTGCTGTTAACAATAAAGAACAACGGGTAATCCTTAATTTCCGCCTGTACTGATTGAAAACACCAGACGAGTGACTACTTGATACGGGTAATATTGACAATCCTTCAACTTTCATAACCTCCTGCTGCTTATGGAGTGTCTGAAGGGTTTTCTTTTGTTCCAATGGTCTAGAATTTATTATTATTATTATTATTATTGTTTCGTTTGTCTTAATTATATTTTTCTATTAATTTTTCCATTAATTCTATCTTTCTATTTGAATTTATTTCTTAATTTTTTCCTTCCGGCTAAATTTTCAGACCGATCAATGATAGATGCACAAGATACTAACACATAATAATTTTTTTAATTTAAAAAAATAAAAAATCATAAAATATTCTGCCTTTATGCATAAAAATAAATAATTAATTTCATCCCTAATTTTTTTTTTTGGCTCTCTCTCAAATGCAAAACAAAAAAAAAATTATGCGTAGAAAAGAACATGTTAATTCTTTTTTATTTCTAAAAGTTATTTCAAATCCAAACCCAAAGACTTTTTATAAAACGTTTTTCATGAGCAAAAGGCAGATAAAAAAAAAAAAGGAGACATTTTGAGATTTTTTTTTCAGAAATTTATTTTTTAAAAAATACCACGTGTCAACTTTGTTTGTTATCAGAAATTGACGTACAGAATGACAAAATTAAGCTACCAATTAAAGTAGAGGAATGCGATTAGTGAGAAAATTAATAGATAAGACATTTTCGACCAATTAACCTGTTTCCTTGGTACTTTTTTTCCAATTTATCCCGAAAGCATAATGTCGACTCTCTGATCTCTGTTGGGAAAGCACAAAGTAAAGGTCACCCAAAATTTGAGGGCAAAGCACCGGTATGATAGTTCAGATGACTTCCATCGACGCTTGGTCTACAACAAATACCTCTCTTACGAGTAGGTAACTTTCTTTTTAGTGGTTCCAACCACAAACAGGATAAAGGAAACTTTTTATTCTGAAGAGCACCCATGGCTTAAGAAAATCCCAAGCTCATGTAATACAAGCAGTTGAAAATCAGTTTATTGAAGCTCTTTTGCCAAACTTGAAGACATGTATCGTAATGATCTATATTGTTTTTAATTTAGGCATATAGATCGTCCACATTACATTCGCCAAGGAAAACTTTGAGACTGCGCGGTGAACCACAGCTGCCTTCAGCTATAAGTGCTCTGTCATTGGCTGCCATGTGCGCAATAATCTTGTATATCATTTCGATCTGCCAGCAATGAAAAGAGAGTTTTTCAATCCCAAAGGAAAAAAAAAGGGGAAAGAGTTAGTTATATTTCATCGCTTAAGCAATATCTAAAAGAGGATATTGTACATACGTCTTGGGGAGCATGGCAACGATCAGCTACTTCCTCTAGTGTCAATGGTTCAACAGGCTCTTTGCAACTGAAAAGACAGGTGCACATAATGATCATAATCAGCAAAAGGAAAATACTTCCAAGAAAACACTGAGCTTAGACGTTGTATTGAGTTGCAAAAGTTTGATAACTCAAAATGTACAAATTCATGTCTGACAATCGGTTAGAGAACTAATTTTCAAACACCCTAAAGAGGGTTCCTTGTGGCCAGTTGCAAGCAAAGTTGAAACAATCTTCTGGACCTCCATAATCCCATCGATCTCAATTGTTACTATTAGCAATTTAGGCTGCTGGCATAGGGTATAGTATAACGAGGTCAGAATGAGCACATACTACTTGTGGCTGGGAGCAGGGAGTAATCAGACAATGTCATGCATATAGATTTGAAAATAGCACTAACATATCACATAAAGTGCACATCAGAGTAGAGAGGATGTCACGCCTTACCTTGCCTCATTGAGCACTGCCAAAACCCGCTTCTGAAGAGCTAATACTTCTCCTGCTGCTTTCTTCCCAGCTTCCACACCTGAGATGACAATTAAATTTAGATACTTGACTAGTCAGAGACAGACCGCTAATCAAATAAGCATGAATGAACAGTAACATCACAAAGACTAGAGGAACAAGCTAGAGCAACCAATAATAACCTTCATTTCCAGAACCAAATGCAATTTAGAGGCAACAGGATACAGCAGTATTTACCAGGTTGATGGTAAGCATTAATGTTCACAAGTGAGGCATATATCCCAACTGCCCGCTCATAAAGCCCAATAAGTGCCCCAACTGATCTAGGTGTCACTTCTTGCACAGTGACTGTAATAGATTCCCTGTCATTGGCATACAGAGCAGACCTAGTTCCCTGCACATAACCGAATCAGTTTTAGAAGGTACACGCCAAGCATTTATTAATAGTAAATCAATGGAGATGAAATTTCATCTCCACGGTCTAGGACTAAAACCACAGTTAGTGTTTATACAATGGCTCTTGTTTGCACATGTACCTGTAACATTCCAAATAGGTAGTCACCACATGTGACGCCTGGTTCAAGCTCCCAATCATGGCCGGGAGGTCTATCACGTAGCACTTCAATGAACGTTACAAAAAAATTGTGCACCCCTTCTCTCAGTTGTTGAATGTAACTAAAAATAAATAAATTAGCGCATCACGATGCAGAAAGACAGCACCAACAACCACATCATACAAAATTATACATGATAAGCAAACTTACGCATGTTGATCAGTGCTCCCCTTATTTCCATAGACGGTAAGTCCTTGATTTACCTAAAAAATTCTGGGAGAGTCAATGTCTAAAGGGTGCAAGAAAGAGTACATAGAGCTCAAGTGGCATCCCTATTTGCAGATGGGTTGCCACTGTGGGTTCTCAAAAAGGAGGTAACAACTTCAGCAATATTAAATCTCTCTCATATATTCTTACATGCTTTAATCTTGAAAATCATATGGCAAATTGATATAACAGCAATCTTCAAGGTGAAAACCTTTGTGAACAAAATGCAACATGACAATTAAAAATGATGGTAATTTTTTACCGGTTGCACATACCTGATTACCGTCAAGATCAAATTCCTTCCCAAGTGATTCCATGACCAGCTGCTGCAAATACCTGCTAAATAGCAATAGGCTGTCCTTGTACGGAAGTACAACCATGTCCTGTGGAAAGCAAACAAACAAAAAACAATCAATATTCATAACTGGTTTTGAATTTCTAAGAACTTAAATAGTGCCAACTTTAAAATATGGAAAAGGAGTCCATACCTTAGATCCCACCCCATCAGAAGCCCAATACCAACATAAAGCTAGCAAAGCTGCAGGGTTATTCCTAAGCTGGAGGGAAAATGTCTTGATCAGAAGGATGATCCCAATGCAATGCACAAATATAGAACTAAAAATAAAACTCAGACAATAAACCAGACATCAAGCCACAGTTAATTACACAACCATTCTCATGGCAGGCAAGGTAAAACCTGCAGAGTGGACAATCATTCACCTCTGAAAAAAGAACCAAGCATGTTCATAGAAATCACAAAATAAAATAAGTAGCTTTCCCACAGAACTAGATAGACTACAGTATCGCTCCAGAAAGGACAACGGAATATATTGGTTGAATTTTCAGGCCATGACTCCAGAGCAACCTATTTGCACTCATCTGGAAAGCTCCTCGACGACAAAGATGAGAAGACGCTCAATTAGTTCTAAAAACTGCCACTGGTAACCAATCCCATTTCTCAGCAATAAAGGTAAGAAAGAAGGTGAAACAACAAGCATGAATTGGTCTTTTGCGTTGTTTGTTGAAACAGGTAAGTGATAATTAATGCAAGGTCCACTTTACACTGAACTTTACATTTATAAGATCCTTAGATGACTCATTTATCTCCTACAAAACCTGCTCAACAGAAAAGGGGGTGGAAGCAGAAAATTCTCTGCAAAGATACCAATGTGCTTAGACCACCGAGTATTTTCATCCCACATTTTTCACCTTCCTGTCATGCATTGTCCATATCCTAAGAACTTTTATGATTCATTTGAAAAACTCAAGTTCACAAGGGTCTATAACCTGTTTGAGAAAGCTCCAAACTTAAAGCTGGGGATGACTAACAGGCATCTAGATTTGCAAAATCTAGTCCAGACGTTCACCAGGCAAGCTAAAAACCACCATCTTTGAAACTGGCATAAATCAAGCTTGTTTCTATTTGAATCACATGAGCTGAAATGCAAGGATCCTGTTTTGGCGACACAGAATTTTCCAAAGTAACCCTTTAGATCCCACCTACTAGGACACCTATAAATTGGAACCTCTGAACAAAACAGTAACTAATTTGAATCCAGAAACTGCTCTATAGTTCAATCAACTAGCAATACAATAATCAAATACGACAAGTTCTGGTATAGAAATATAAGAATCAATACTTACCACTGTGGTCCTATTTGCCTCATCCATCAATGCAGCACCAGCAAGCATTTCTCTGACGTCAATCCCCTGAAGGAAAGATTGCTAATAAGGAATCATACATAATAAACCAAGATATACAAACATTTAAGATTCTGAAAAATAAGGGTACTTTACCTGGAGCGCTGCTGGAAGCAGGCCAACTGCAGACATTTCAGATGTCCTACCACCCACCCAATCAAACATCGGGAATCTAGCCAACCAGCCCTCAATTCTTGCAGTGTTGTCTAGTAATGAATTTTCTTGTGTTATAGCAACACCCTGCATCAAATTGCATGCAACAACTTAATAAATATATGATGGGGAGGGAAACTGCATGAAGAGTACAAGGAATCTTATTTAGAAGTAGCAATTTCACAATTAAACAATGCAGCCTACAATTTTAAGAGACAGGCCAAATATTCATCAATTGCAACATAAGCAATCAATAAGGTCATTTATCATGTAAGCAATGGAATCAGAAGAATTATCAGCTCAACACTGCCATCTCATTATGGACAGTATGATCAAAATCTTATAACAAAGTTTGCAGCTCAACACTACTCGCTGACTCATTTCTTCTAGCATCTTTGACATCTGGTCCACACTCGGTAAGTGACAGTGGATGTGCAAGTACTACATGCATAACATGACAATCCATAATGACAGTAAAGCAAATAAGCAGCAAGAAACTTCTTAAGACAATGCTCTATTAAAACAATGACTGTCACAGACACTTGCACATGCTAATCATCTTTAAACTAATACTTAGACACTGTCAAAGCAATTCCCTCATCTAAAGGAGATTTGACTGTGTCAAAGGGATAGGAGCATGGAAATGCCAAAAATAGAATAAACAATCACCAAGAACAATAACAAATTAAGCATTATTAAATTGTTTACTGCACATCATAGCATTTTATTCTGACTTGGTTTTAAAATCCCACACTATGAAGCAAGGGAAAATCAACAAAAGCAGAAACAAGAACCTGAGATCAAAACCTGTTTTGCAAACTCCAGGCCAGCTTCACGAAAGGCTTTCTGTACTTCCAACAAACCATTTCTAGTTTCAGGGGTTCCTCCACTCTTGAGAATAATTGACAAAAACATTACATTAGCAACATACTTTGTAGCAAAATGTAATAAAAAAACAAAACTCCAGAAAGAGGGGGAAATGACAATAATATAGGATTGCATCCTCCTAAGAAAGAAGCATGATGTCTATGCGGACCTTTGAAATCACAATTACAAGAGTAGAAGCCAGCTCATGTCCAAGCTGAGCAATCTGATGATCAATTCCAGCAGGATCTGTATTATCAATGAACCTTATCTGCAAGGAAACAAAGAAAATATCATCTTCTGAATTGAAAGCATGACACTTGCAAATAATATTTTTTCATACAAGAAAGATAGTCTAAGTCATTTCATCGGTGTGAACCCTTCCTTAGTTCTAACAAGTAACACAGAACCCCACAGCAGTAGAAGTTATGGCATTTCAGCAAACACTAAGAAACTTCCCATAACAGCAGCAGCAGCAGCAACACCAAATAAAAGAATAAAAGAATGTATATCCAGAAATAACATATAAGGAAGAAACAAAAAACAAAAGGTTATATTACAAGCTTATTGGATACCTTAAGAGGAGGATTGTCAGGGGCCAGCGCCTCGGCAACAAACTGAGGTCCAAGAGCCGAACCACCAATCCCAACGGAGAGTACTTGAGTAAAACGGCCACCATCCGGAGTCTTAATCTACATTTTATAATCAGCCAAAAAACCACTAAATCACACATATGTATAAAAAGCAGTTCTTAAATTAACTTCAATCAGTCTCCTTCACTAGTCAAAAGCATATATTAGCCCGTAACTAACCTTACCGCTGACGACTTGATCAGCAAAATCACAAACAGCATCAAGAGTCTTGTCAATCTGAGTTTTCAAAGAAGACTTCGGTGCTAAGATCGAATTCCTCAACCAATAATGCCCAACCATTCTCCCTTCATCGGGATTGGCAATCGCGCCCTTCTCTAATTCCACCATATCCTTAAAAGCCTTTTGAAATCGGGGATCCATTTCAGAAACAAACTCGTCCGTGAAACCGATCCGACTCACGTCCAAATACAACCCTAATTCCTTGTGTTGGTAGAACCAGTCCACGTATCTCCTCCATAGAGAATTAGGATCTTTCTCTAGTCCTAGTTGTTTGGGCTTGATGGAGAGTTTGTCGTTTGTTTTTGACAAATCGGCTGGGATATCGCGAGCGATTGAGTGAGTTGGAGTGAGTAGAATCCGAGTTGGGAATGTGAGTGAGTTTTTGAGGAGGGGAGGATTGAGAGTTGTTTTAGAAAGAGAGTGTTTGGGTTTGAGAGAGGGAGAAGAGGAACAGAGGCCAGAGAGAGAGGCCATTTTTGGGAATTTTCACGATGACAACGAGAGATTATGGAGAAAGAGGTCCTCGGTTTGATTTTAGGCCATGACTGGCGATATGTATTTTTTTTTATGAAACGAGGTAGAAATGGAAGTTAGTTTTTGAAGAATCGAGGGTGTTTAGAGGGGCGTGTGAGTGTACAGGAGAGTTCACGCGTTTGATTGGCTGGTTTCTTTTTGTTGTTTCGCTGATGGCAGGGAACGTTAGTAGGGGGGCTTGTATTTACGAGGTCCTCGCATATTCCTCGGGTTTTTTTTTTTTTTGGTCGTCCTTGGAGGCAGTTTTTAATGGCGGCAACTTTCCACCAATGGAAAGGTAGGCAGTGCTGCCGAGCTAATAAAAAACAAGAGAAAAGGCTGAAGTTCACTTTGACTTCTTTGGATTCGAAAACGTTAAAAAATTTGCGAGTATTAACTCCATAGTTTCAAAAAGGTTAAACAAAATAATCTTTACCAAGTTAACGGACCCTGGAAGAATTCCAACTTTTTTTTCATCGTTTTCTTTTGTTTTTTTTTATTTTTCTTTGTCGCAATCTCATTTCAAATACAAGTGATAACATCCCACGAATCCTTAATGATTCAAAAAATAAAGATTTATATTGAAAGATTTAAATAATAGAGATAAAGGGGAACAATACTGAATTTATAAGAACTGAAATATAATTACTATAAAAAAATTCTTGCAGAATAACATACTTTCGAAATCCTTATTGGCCTTTACTTGTGATGGGTAAACAAGAGTGGATTCAAAAATTATTTTCGATGCTACAAATTTAGTACAAAAATTAGCAATTTCTTAAGTTGTCAGTTTGCGTGTCACTATGTTATTTAAAATTAAGATGAAAAAAAAAACTTCTAATAAATCATGATAAAAAATATATATATTCAAAAATCTCCGAAGTAAGCAACCTTCGTTCCATTCGTATAGCCTCGAGGCGAGACTACCGTTGAATCAACCTTAACCATTAGAACGATCTAACACGATAAGGACAGCTTTATAAAAAGCTTCATTGTAATAGCTGACATTTATGTACCAAAAAAAGAATAGCTGATATTTTATTAGCGTGAACAGTTCAATACTCTGCAACCCATTATCAATTTGAACACTTGCAAGGATGGGAGATGGCAATCGAATCACTCTTAATTATTTTGTTGACATTAGAATCATCCATGGCGATGAGGAAAATTAACACTGTTACTTTAAAAATTAATAGATAAACTAACTTAAAATAAAAATCAAACGTAAAAAAAAAGACTTAAAACAAAATTTTAAAAAATAGACATAATAAAGACAGAAGAAGAATAGAAATGCCTAACAATCATTAATCTTTTAAAGAACTGTCATCAAAATAATTCAACATTTTACTAGCTTGAAAAAAATCTCATATTCTCCTCATGCAACGAGATAACCATTAAATCGATATTAATAGTTGCGATGGTAATAGAATAGTCTCCACTTAAGGGAAGGAGAGCCTTTAAAAAAATCAATAAATGAATTTATTGTTATTATTTTGTCTATGGAATGGGTGAGAAAACATCTTATTTACTTGGATCGATCATTCGGATGGGTTTCGTAGGCTTTGTCCGGTCATGATGATCATTGGAGACCTTTTGAAAAATCCATTCCATTCCAATGACCCTAGACGATGCATGGTGACATGTATGGTTTGGGTATATCGATATTTTTCAAAACAAAAATCATCTTGTGACCTGGTTTACTTATATTTGGCCATGCAGCTTTAGCGTATGGCTTAATATTATACCATTTTGTAAAATGCAACCAAACACAACTACGTCGAAAGGCATATGCCTTTAGGGTAAATTTTAAGTATTGTTTGGCAATAAATAACATAATTGTGACAATAGAAAATAAGTTTTCGAGATAATTATTAGAAAAACCTTATAAAAAAATCTTCTATCTAAAAAACTCACAAATTTATTTTTAAATCTTTCAAACCTAAAATAATAAGAAAAATATTATTTTAGGTTTGAGAGATTTAAAAATATTATTTTGTACTTGGAAGATTTAAAAATAAAATAGTGAATTTTTTAGATTGAAGTTTTTTTTAAAGGTATTTTGGTAATTATCCTTAATTTAAATGAAGTAATTATCTTTCAAGATATGTATTTCTATCATAGATGATCATGATTTATTTAATTAATACACTAAAATATGTTATACATTCGTCTTGTAATTTAATTTAATTTAATTTTTGATAAAAAATTTTGATTTTTGATTAATTACAAATTAGTATTACCGATAATGCTTTTTTGTCGTCCTATCAATATATTAGGATTTAAGAAATCACTAATGTTTATAATCATACATATTTTATTTTTCTTATTTTTATGATACTTTTTGATTAAATTACAAGAGAATGACAAGAGTCTCATTTCATCAATATCAATTATTTAAATTCTGAATAAAAGACCCAATAGTTAACTAGTGTTAAGTTAGAGGTTAACTATTGGGTGTTTTGGTAAGAAAAATATTATTTTAGGTTTGAGAGATTTAAAAATAAATTGATGGGTTTCTTGGATATAAGATTTTTTTTAAAATGGTTTTTTTGGTAATTATCCCTAAGTTTTATTCACGTTTTGTAGGTGTTTGATTAAAATAAATGAAAATTAAATATAGTTTCATTTTCATAAAAAATGTTTGAATAAAAAACAAGAAATGAAAATGAAATTTTTTTATTCGATATAGTGATATATTATTTTTATTTATTATGTATCAATTACTTTTACCACTATTATCGTCATCTCCACCACACCAATGTCGTCGTTGTCGTTGGCGGGAATGATAAAAAAAATTATTATTATTATTGTTCTATCATTATCATTATTTTTATTATATCATAGCTAGTGTTATTTTGTTGTCACTTCCTATTATAGTAGTATTAATTTAAAACGAAAAATGTCATTATCATTATCGTTTCCTTCTTCTCCTCCTTTACAACCATCACCATTATCACAATTACTCGTATAATTCTAACTACTATCATATTTGATGAATTATTTTTTTAACCATTATTTTTATTCATTTTAAAAATTAGATATTAAAATTAAAAAAAAAATTCGATTTCTTATTACTATTCTAAACACATCATAAACTCGCAAATGTCATTTCCATTTTTTTTATTTTAATTGAGATGAAGGTTTAAGTATGTTAATTCATTGCGTAAATAAAAATAAACTTATTACGGTTAATTGTCATATCATACTCACTAGGACTTCATACTTAAGAGGAAACTTTATCTTCCTACTCAAGAAAGGAAAAAAGAAAAAAGAAAAGGAAACTCTTTCCTAATGTTAATTGGTCCAAGGCAAACAATGATTGATCTTAGATAATGGAAAAACCAACGATTTCACAAGCTACAATGAAAGAAGGAAAAAACCCAATCCACGTACTCAATTTCGAAAACCTTAAAAAGTAAGTGTACTTGTAATGAATCATCGAATTACTAATAAACTAAAGTAAAACAATAGAATGAACAATATAAATAATAGTAATGAATAGTATTAAACATCGTATAGTAATAAACGAGTCTTGAACATTATTCATTACTCGTTTATTAAGTTTTTTTTAAGTTATTTTATTTTGATCTCTAAAAATTTAAAACAAACATTTTAATCTCTTAACTCATGCAATGCACATGCCTTTTTTTCTTTGGTTTTTCCCTTTGCTTTTTTTCATCAATTTATATTCTTTTTTATTTGATTGGGTGTTAAAATTATGAAAAAATTAATTTTTTTTTTTGCTTTTTTTTCCATCAATTTATGTTCTTTTTTATTTAATTAGATGTTAAAATTTTAAAAAATCAATTTTAATTTTTTTCCACGCAAAATTGACGAGTCATATAATATATTGTTTTATATTACTCTTGTTATTTAAATTTTATTTTTTAAATTTATCACATTTCACTATTTACACACTTACATTTTGGTATTCCTTTAATTGTTTATGGCTTTTTTTACATCATAAAGCAAATTATCAAACTGAAATGATTTTTTTAAATAATTTTATATATTTTATCCAATTCGTAGCATAACGTAGGTAAAAAATCTAGAGTAAACTATATTAAGATACTGCTGCTTTTTGGTTGTTTTTTTTCCCTTCTTTTGCCTTTTTCTTTTCTTGCGCAATGTAGTGCTGATATATAATTGTTTAGGGTTGCAATTGGTGACTGGCTGGAATCTCCAATCTGGCATTTTGCTTGGGATTTTTATTTTTCCCACAACAACCATTGATAGCTGTCACCTGATCTCTGCGACGATGATGTTTGATATGATCTGTGCCCTCGATTTTTTCAGTCGATTTGCCGTGAACATTTACATACCGTCCATTCCAACTCATTTGGATTTTGGACCACACCCTCAGTTGAAATACTCGACCAAACAGTACAAAGAAGATGCGTTCGCAAAACCCCACACACAGATTATGTTCTTGTTTCCTACCTGAAAACATCCCTCCGCCATCTCTAGCTACTCGTTTCAAATTGTGCATAGCAAACCGGAAACGCTTGTGTTATTAAAATCTTCTCGAGTTTTACAAAGACAACAAGAGCACATTATCGACTGAATAATAATAAAAAACTTAATTTGAGCGTTCCTTATCGACTATTTCAATTTGGTGAACAAACTTAATTTCATTTTCATGAAAAATGTTTGAATAAAAAACAAGAAACGAGAATGAAATTTTTTTATTCGACATAATGATATGTTATTTTTATTTATTATGTATCAATTATTTTTACCATTACTATCATCATCTCCACCACACCATTGTCGTCGTTGTCATTTACGAGAATGATAAAAAAATAATAATTATTATTCTATTATTATCATTATTTTTAGTATATCATAGCTAGTGTTATTTTGTTGCTACTTTCTATTATAGTTGTATTAATTTAAAAAGAAAAATGTCATTATTATTATTATTTCCTTCTTCTCCTCCTTTACAACCATAATCATTATCACAATTACTCATATATTTCTAGCTACTATCATATTTGATGAATTATTTTTTTAATCATTATTTTTATTCGTTTTAAAAATCGGATATTAAAATTAAAAAAAAAATCATTTCAATTTCTTATTACTATTCTAAACATATCATGAAATGCAAATATCATTTCCATTTTTGTATTTTAATTGAGATGAAGGTTTAAGTATTGTTAATTCATTGCGAAATGAAAATAAAATTATTACAATTAATTGTCATATCATACTAGCTAGGACTTCATACTGAAGAGGAAACTTTGTCTTTCTACTAAAGAAAGGAAAAAAAGAAAAAGAAAAGAAAACTCTTTCATAATGCTAATTGGTCCAAGGCAAACAATGAAAGAAGTAAAAAACCCAATCGGCGTACTCAATTACGAAAACCTTAAAAAGTAAGTGTACTTGTAATGAATCATCCAAATTACTAATATACTAAAGTAAAACAATAAAATAAAAATGTAATGAACAGTGCTAAACATTATTCATTAATGTTTATTAGTTTTTTTTTTAAGTTTTCAAGTTATTTTATTTTGATCCCTAAAAATTTAAAACAAGTATTTTAATCCCTTAACTCATGCAGTGTACATGCCTTTTCTTCTTCTTTTTTTCTTTGTTTTTTTTTTCCATAAATTTATATTCTTTTTTATTTGATTCGGTGTTAAAATTTTGAATTTTTTTTTCATCAACTTATCTTCTTTTTTATTTAATTGGATGTTAAAATTTTAAAAAATCAATTGTAATTTTTTTCACACAAAATAGACAATTATATAATATATCTTTTTATATTTTAAAATTAACATATACTTCATTTTACATTACTCTTGCTATTTAAATTTTATTTTTTGAATTTATCATATTTCACTATTCAAACATTCACATTTTGTTATTCCTTTAATTGTTCATGGTTTTTTTTACATCATAAAACAGTACTATCAAACTGAAATGATTTTTCTAAATGATTTCATGTATTTTATTCAATCCGTAGCATAACGCAGGTAAAAATTCTAACGTAAACTATAGTAAGATAATGCTGCTTTTTAGTTGTTTTTTTTTCTTTTTCCTTTTTATTTTCTTGCGCCATGTAGTGCTGATATATAATTGTTTAGGGTTGCAATTGGTGACTGGCTGGAATCTCCAATCTGGCATTTTGCTTGGGATTTTTATTTTTCCCACAATAACCATTGATAGCTGTCGCTTGATCTCTGCGACGATGATGTTTGATATGATCTGTGCCCTTGATTTTTTCAGTCGATTTGCGGTGAACATTTACATACCGTCCATTCCAACTCATTTGGATTTTGGACCACACCCCCAATTGAAATACTCGACCAAGCAGCACAAAGAAGATGCGTTCGTAAACCCCACACGCAGATCATGTTCTTGTTTCCTACCTGAAAACATCCCTCCGCCATCTCTAGCTACTCGTTTCAAATTGTGCATAGCAAACCAGAAACACTTGTGTTATTAAAATCTTCTTGAGTTTTACAAAGACAACAAGAGCACATTATCAACTGAATAATAAAAAAAAAAACTTAATTTGAGCGTTCCTTATCGACTATTTCAATTTGGTGAACAAACACTTGAAAGGAGTTTTGATTTTTTTTTTTTTTTTGTGTCACTGCCATAACACTGCCAAGTTGCCAACTATATATTGCTGAGACAGGCATCAAGTCAAATAACAAGAAATCATGCAGCAATTGTCAACTGAATAATGTCATGCAATGTGCCATTTTTGTTGAAAAACACCCACTAGCTTATAAAATTATATAGGAATCGTGTTGATAGCATAAATTCTACAAACACAATATGGACATTCATAGCATTGTATTATATTCCCTTTCTGCAGTCTAAACAATATTAAACTCAGTGCCATTCTGATGCCATACGTTTCAGGATTAAGTATTGTCAGAAACTGCATACTACTGTATAAGGGGAAAAAAAAAAAAAACCTTCTTCAAGACGACCTTGAAATGTGATAGCTAGTACGGCTAAATATCACAAACAAATCCCTTACTGTTACAAAACTCTTCTTGTTGCACTGTGACGATGTAATACACTATGGAGTCAGCTTTTCAAAAGAGGAAGCTACACATTAAAAATAGTTTAATGAGAGTTTTTGGCCTAGAATTATTGAGGTTGTGTCCACATTGATGCTTATATTATCCATTTGATTAATTTTATTCTTAAACTATTTTTTTCAATACTGTTATTATTGACCAGAAATCCTTTTAAGAAAATTTCATTTTGTTTGTATTTTGAGCTGAATTTTTTTTCCATAGATGCTAACAAAAATTCAATCAATTTTTATAAATAATTTTTTTTTTGAAGTCGTAGGTTTATTTATTTATTTTCTAAATAATAAAAATACAATAAATTATAGAAAATAAAAAACAAGCTGGAATTATCTCAATTTTTTTTTTGAAAGCTCTAAAAAGGTTATATGAATGTACACATACAATTTTAGTGTGGCTCTCAAAACAATCTATTTAAGTTTGGTTAAATATTATGCATTCGAACATACAAATATTTTGAAAATCATACTAAGGCCTAATAGATAAATGTATATTGTTGTTTTAAGTCTCTAAAAAAAATAATAATAATTCCAAATTATTTTCTAATTTTTTATATAATTTTATAAATATTTAATATTTAAGAAAAATAAAAGATACTTCTTTATCTCAAAAATTATGAAATTATTTTTTAGAGTAGATGGAATTTTTATTAGCATATACCAAAATTATTTTTTAGGTAGTTGATCAATTTTGATGGTCAAATCAAATATAAGGAAAATATTTATCCAACATCTGGTAGGTTAAGAATAAAATTGATCGAATCAATAGTACAAGTATCAATATGTCACAATCTTATTAATTCAGAATAAAACATTTCCATTAAACCTGTGAAAATTCAAGCTTGGCAAGATGATGTCTAGCCAGAATATTCTCAAGATGCAAAAAAAAAAAAAAAAAAAAAATGGAATACAAGAAGAAACAACATTCTGGCTTGTCATTTCACACAAAACCAAAAGCTAACATCATTCATAACAGTGAATTCTAACAAAGCAGTATTGCAATCAAACAAGTAACTGGCATCTAAGGAATAATTAGTTGCGTGCAGTCATAAGCTAGCTTAACATTAAACAGAACAAATTTATGATAAACATGCTTATCTATACAGCCACAACGACTAAACAGCACAAAGTGAATGCTTACTTCACATGTCAATGTGATGTCACCGGCAAAAGAGTTTCTTTATTGGATAAATTACTACAAGAACCAATGCTTGTGTTGCGAAGGAATGAACTGGAACGGGAAAATTTCAGTGTGAAGTTACTGCAATCTATAAACCTTACCCACCACAAATGACCCAAATGCGAATATAATTCCCTCCACGTCATTAAATTTGAGTGAACAGAGGCATAAGGAGATTAGGACATGTATTTTCCGGTCAAGCATGACTAATCCCATTCCTGATGGAGCGGGAACGGGCTTCCATTCCTCTCTGCAGAGTTTTTTTTCTCTCCCGATGACAAGCCACTAAAACTAAGCTACCGAGACGATGGTTTCCTTATCGAAGACTCGCTTGGGACTAAAAGGATCGAGTCTGTGACCATCTCACACAATGGATAAAGTAGTACTAGATGTACAATTCGTGACGATCATAGGCCTCAGCAAGGTCTATTTTAACAGTCATGCCCCTGTTTCTGTCTGCTCATACAAATAGAATGAAGAGTTTCTTGAGAAGTCGCAATATATATGCTTTTTTCAAAGGCTCTGCATCCGTAATGAAGGTAGCTTGCATAGGACGAATGTGGCTGTCAAGAAATGCGTAGCACATGAACTCGAGTAAGAACTTGATAAGTCACATTACGCAGGCTAATTGGTCTATTTGTGAAACTGAGATAGGATTTCACATTTTCACTCGTTGGGAATTAAATTAACGAGGGTTTTAGCGGCGAGAGGATAAAGGATCCCGTTTGAAATTTGGAAGCCTGTATCAACCATTCTCTATAAAGGATGCCAACTATATCACAGCAAAGGTCGAAAAACACTAGTCGTAATCCATCAAAACCGAAAGCCTTCACAACATCACAAACTTCTGTCCAGACGCGGGGGTCAAAATAGATTGGCAATCCGGCACTGAAATTATATGTTATCTAACCTTTATGCAAGAAAAATAAGTCTAGGAAAATAAGTATAGCATAACAATGATTATGAGTTATTGCAACAATCATAACAAATTACTTGAAAATGTAAAATTACATAATAAAAATAACGAACCACAAAACAAAGTAAAAAATTACATAAATAAGTTAATAAATTAATTTTTTTTTATTGAGAATGGTTACGAAATTTACAATACTTAAACCTTCATCTCAATTAAAAATTTCGCAACAATCTCATGAGTTTACTAGCTTACGAAAAAAATTATGCCTAGCCAATTTTTCAAATTTAATTAAATGTTCAAGTAATTTAACTTATAGAACTAAAAATTATATATGAATCAATTTTTCTAAAGTAAAAATAAAAAATTTAACGCTAAAATAAATCCTGTCCTATAATTTCTTTTTCATAATAAAAAAAGAAATTAAAAAGAAAACTGTAATTACAAGTAATTAAATACTCAGCGAGCATGGCATTCGTCTAGAAATTTCGTTTTCAAAACAAAAATATATACTGTAGGCTCATCAGTACAGGCACAAAAACGGAGGAAAAGCCGAAGAAGAAAAGAAATACGCGGCACGCCGATACATACACGATTGAGGATACATACACCTACCCACTTGCCAGGTGCAGAGGTTTATCCTTAAGAGAAGCAATTTAGAATTTTAACGAAGTTTGGTCTCTCACGCTGTTGTGTTGCGTCTCAAACTCCGCAAGGAACATGATGACGTGGGACGAGTGGGACGATTCTCAAACCCACCAACAACAACAACCGGACCAGGATTCTGACTTCAATTTCGATCTCCTTTCCCTTCTCTCTAAACCCAAGGTGGTTACATTTCCCTTTAATTTTATTTTCTTTTTCTCTATTTTATTTGTAGTATTGGGGTTTGTAACTGGCATTGTATGCAGGATTATTATAAAATACTTGAAGTTGATTATGATGCTACGGAGGATGATATTCGGTCCAATTATATACGCCTAGCACTGGTTTGTATTCGAGATTTCTCTCTTTTTGCTGGGTCACCGAATTGTGATTTTGGTGATTTTCTTCTTCTTCTTCTTCTTCTTCTTCTTCTTTTGGGGTGTGTAATCGGAAGCTTTAAAGCTTAAGCTGTTGTTATGTGCAGAAATGGCATCCTGATAAGCAAAAAGACGAGGGTAGTGCTACTTCAAGGTTTCAAGAGATAAACGAGGCTTACCAGGGTCAGAAATTTTTAAGTTCCCTGTTACTATAGTTTTTAATTTCTTGTTTTTTTCTCAATTAGATTGGCTGGAAATGCCCGCAAGTTTGTTTCTAACAAATTTTTTCGAGCTTTCCAAGATTGTTTTTGAGTGTGCCAATTACCTATTTTCGTGTATTCTACATATAGACGTTTATAGATTACTTGCTAGCTGTGTGCCTGGCTTTTGCTCATGGTTAGTCTTCTTCTAAGAAAGTGATTCCCAAGGCGTTGAATCCCACATTGTTTTGCTCTTTCACTATGAACTCCGCAAGTGTGGTACTATCTATTAAAGTTCTTTGTGCTTAGGTGTTTTAGTGAATGGGATCGATTACCATTTGAGCCAAATAATAATTTTGAAATGATGTGGGAAATAACCTACCCTTGTGAGTTCAACAGGTGCTTTCTTATCACAAAGCAGCCTGCTGCACCCACTTGGCCAGTGGGTTCTCTAGGACATAAACTTTTTGGAAGTTCTCTTAGTTATGTTGTTCTTTGAATTTTGGATGCCTGTTTTTCTGCTTCTATCTGTGCACAATTGATTTTGGTGTCTTTCCATGAATTGATTCTAATAAATTCTTACTAGCCAGCTAATATTGATTCCCATCAATCATCTTTCACAAATATTATTTGACACATTGGGATTACCTCAGCTAATAAGTACGAGAAGTGTGTGTAGCTAATACTCTATGCAGTGATTGGACGCTCAATGGACATGCCACTTTATTGTATTCAACAATGTGGTGCGATATTTCTATTGATTGTCATTCAGTCAGTCATGATCCCATGGCATGAGCTCAGTTAATCAAAAGAAGCACCAGCATATTATCGCATTGTATGTACAGTCTCAACCAAACAAACACGAAAAATGAGTTTGAAATCTAAATTAGAATGAGGCAAGAACAACATTTAAGCTGACTCAATTCTAAGCAGTTAACCTGTTTCTCCTTTTTAGTCTATGCAGGAGCAGTTGCTTGCTCTCGTGATTGGCAATATATCTATGACAACTAGGACAAATTTATACAAGAATGAGCTTACAATCCAGCAGAGTTTTTCTTCATATTCTGTAGGTGCCACATAATTAGATCCATGCATATTTAAGTTGGCATTTCTCCTTAGATGGGTAGATCATTCTTGGGAGATCCAGGAATTAGGAGATTCATGGTTTTTAATTGGGGTGAGAATTCTGTCGCCAATCTCTTAATCAGTGAATGGCACCCAAATTTATATATAGAGAAATTGAGTTTCTGTAGAAGGCTGAAATCTTTTTGGGCAGTGGGTACAGAGAAGCCTGAGATATTTGACCAATTGTTCTTTATCATCCATTATTTAACATCTTATGAGAATCAATTCCTGTTCAAATCGTCAAAGATACACTCTTCTGCAGTATATCTGTGTGCCAGTCCTTGTCTGTGTCGTTTTAATTCTGTGAGAAGATGGATTCTTTGAAGTGAACTGCAATGGTAATGATGATTTTAAGGACTTTGGCCCAGTCGAGGGCACTGTATATTTAGCCGGCTCACAAATTCCAAAGTGAAGAATAGCAGATGAAATTCGAGGCAAATTATTTTGCATAATTGCCAATGGGATCTTGTAATTTTCTTTGGCAGTTTTGAGCGATCCTGACAGAAGGAGAGAATATGACAACAAGGGGATGCAGCACGTCTATGATTACAACATAAGCGTAAGTCTTATTTGTTGTTGAACTATGTTTTTCTTATGCTTTTGCATACTCTGTCCTAATACGCCCTTCAATTTCTTCTATTGGTTGCAGGAGTACCTCAACCGGTACAAGGGCCTTATATTAACATGTAATGGTCTTGGGATCAGGCATTCAATTTGGTAAGCAGAAACAGAGTGCATGTACATTTGCCACGAATCTCCTTACATGGTGACACAAACAGGGAGAGCAGCTAAGAGATCAAGCACGTTTTGGATGTATTATGGAATCCTATTACGTGTATCAGTGTATATATGGATAGCAGTATCCAGACATCAGTGTTACATTCTGTGACAGTTTTTATCTTGGGAGGCCTGTGATCTTACCATTAGCCATCTTCTGGCTGTTTATCTTTCATGGTTTGGTTGCTGGTGTGATGGCATGTTTTAATTGGCCAGGTACAAATTGATTTTAACACATATAATGGACCTTGTCTAATCTCTCCTGTTCTTAGCATGTGCGGAATTGGATCCCTGATCTCTCTGTATTCCTATGACATTACATGAGATGAGTTTAGGAGCATTGTTGGTGTGAATGGGATTGGATCTTAGATCTCCCAGTATTACATGACATGAGTTTATTAGCTAGCTAACTTAAACTCGAGGCAGGAAGAAATACTAACTAGTGAACTATGACTTTATTAGCTAGCTAACTTCAACTGAGGCAGGAAGAAATACGAACAAATGAACGATGACTTCAGCTAGCTGACTACAACTCAAAGCTGGAAGAAATACTAACGAGTGAACTATTGGGATGCAGTGATCCTGGAGCCAACACGCCATAATTTGTACAACCTCGATACACCGAAGAGAACTGACCCTGCCTTCCTGGGTGGGAATTTTGGCTCATTAAACTTGAAGTTGGTCGGTCCCTATGATCTCATAGGTTTAAATGATGATTAGTTATGTTTTTATTTATCAGAATAATGCCACGACTTTTAAGCGTGCAATCGTGGATTGCTGATCCAATCCTCAAATTCATCCTTACATCAATTAGATGGAACTTGGATTTTTGTATTAATTTTGTCAACAAAGCAAGCGTTCTCTTCTACTGATTGCTTTGGGATGACAGTTGCATCTATCTCTATGGAGAGGTTCACTTCTATTTACTTTAATCCAAGTGGCTATAGAGAGAATTTTTTTTTTTTTTTTTTTTCATATGCAAGCAAAGGCGAAAAAGAGTAAAAAAATACGTGATTTATTTGGATATGAAAACGTTAAGAGTATCCTCCTATCCGATAGATCCTTCGTACCAAATACATATATAAGTTATTTGTTTGTAACTCTTTAAATACATATGTAAATAATTTATGTAGTTTTTTTCTTAATATTACGTTGATTAACTTTGTTTGGTAAATATAAAATATTTTATTTTTTCATGGTTTATGTCCTTTTAATGGAATTTGTTAGAAAAAACAAAAAGTTGAAAGTGGACATGAAGGAGTGAGAGATATCTCCAATATAAAGAGGGGCGGGCATAAAGTTTCAGAGGCCTCCGCACGTACGGAAGCAGATGGTGCATTCTATGTCTCCATGGATCTTTATTGTCACCCCTGTGAAGGCTAATTCCCAAGTGAAGGAAAAGATTTACGATATGTTTAGCCTTGCTATGTTTATAAGTTAAGCACATTTTCTTTTTGTAAATGGATTAAACCTCTTTTTGAATTTTTAAATCATTTGAGAATTGATTCTTCAACCAAAAAAGTTGAAATTGATCTCCCGCAACTTTGATTCATTTAAAATTGGATCCTTTCATCTTATTTTGTAGGATTTCATCAATTAATTAAATGATTTTTACACGTAAAAGTCATGTGACTTGTGTATAAATTGATCTAAACCCTTGATTTATTGACTTATTTTTGAATCTTTAAATAAATTTGACTTTTGAGTGGATAAAAGAATAAAAAATATATTTAAAGAAGTGATAAAAATATCCATAAATTTGATTAAAAAATAAAATTCTAGCATATAAAAAATAAATTCTTTCTAAATATTTTTATTTTAAAAAACTAAAAAAAATTAATGAATACTTTTATTTTTGTGGAAAAAATCTAACAAAAACACCAATTTCTTTTCAAGTTTTTATTGATTTTTATTTTTATTTTTCATTGATATTTGTTTAATCAAATTTATGGATATTTTTATTGCTTTTTAAATATATTGTTTATTCTTCGTTGTCATGGATATTTGTTTTAATCAAATCTATGGATATTTTTCTTAACACTATTAAATATATTTTTTATTATTCTTAGTTCAAAAGTCAAATTCAACCGAGGTTTTGATAATAAGTCAAAAATTAAGAGTTTAAATCAATTTATGCACTAGTCTTGCAATTTCTACGTGCAAGATTCCATTAAATAATGGAAGAAACGAAAAAATCTAATTTCAAATGGATCAGTTCTGATTTTTTTTAGTTGAGAGACCTGTTATTAAATAATTTAAAATTCATGAAAAGTTTACTCATTTAGCCAACATTTTTTAGTGAATTATAAAAGATGAAGAAGACAAGCTTCTATTAAGCCTCTGCTTGCTTGCTTAAGATAATATGTTTGTCTTTTCTAAAAGTAAACTCTTTACCAAATGCTTTAATTTTAAAAATCATACTAGAAGTTGGTTAACTTATAAGAATAATAATAGGGTCAAACAAAGCCTTAATCTGGACATAAAATTTGATCCAAAAATATCCAAATTGTTATAAATGGTTTAATTTTATTTCATCAAAAAGTTGCATCGATTGATTTGTGAAATTTTATATACCGAATCAGATTTTACTAAGAAATGATTTTTTGGAAAGATTTTTTTTATAAAAAAATTAGCATTAACCTGTTAAAGTTGATATATATATATATATATATATATATATATATATATATATATATATATATATCTAAACCATTAAAATTATCGTAAAATATATGGGACGAAAGAAAAAAAAAAAACGGGAGGGGACTGTTTCACTGGCAGAGTTGAGCTTCGAAATTGAGACGAAATAAAGCGCAGGCCTACAAAACTTTAGTCCCCAGAAAAGCACCAGTCAAAATTCAATAAAAGTTCAAAGGCAATTCTTAATATTATAACGTGTAATGTTAGGAGGATTAAACTTTTTCATTAAATTGTTTTTTACACAATATAACATCATTATCTTATTATAACACCACCAAGCTCCAATAATGTAACTTAAACGCGTTTTCAACTAGACAATTACCATCTTACCCTCCCTAAAAGGGCCGGAAAAAAAACAAAAAACAAAACCGTCTCACACAATTCCCCGTAAAATATCGCGAAACCGAACCAGCCAAACAGACAAACCACTCTCCTTTCCTCTCCTCTCTTCTCTTCTCCTAGGAGTCTACTAAAACACAATCTCTCTCCTCTCTTGCAAAACAGAATGGCAACCATCACCACTGTTCCAGACAATCTCACCAGAGACCAATATGTCTACCTCGCCAAGCTCGCCGAGCAAGCCGAACGCTACGAGGAGATGGTCCAGTTCATGCAAAAGCTGGTCCTAGGCAACACACCTGGCGGTGAACTCAACGTTGAGGAACGCAACCTCCTCTCTGTCGCTTATAAAAACGTGATCGGCTCACTTCGTGCTGCCTGGAGGATTGTTTCTTCGATTGAGCAAAAGGAGGAAGGGAGAAAGAACGAGGAACATGCTGTGCTTGTTAAGGAATATAGATCCAAAGTTGAGAGTGAGTTGTCCGAGGTTTGTGCTAGTATTTTGAGGTTGTTGGACTCGAATCTCATACCGTCTGCTACTGCGAGTGAATCCAAGGTTTTTTATTTGAAGATGAAAGGGGATTATCATAGGTATTTGGCTGAGTTTAAGGTTGGTGATGAGAGGAAGGCTGCTGCTGAAGATACTATGCTGTCTTATAAGGCTGCTCAGGTATTAATAATACTAATAATAATCTTCGTTTTGTTTTTGAAGTTTGGTTTGCTCTGTTTGGTTTATTTTTCTAGAATTAGCTTAATCTAAGATTTCGTTTCTAGGGTTTGGATAAATAATTGGGGGTTTTGGATTTTACAGCAGGAAGCTACAATTTCTAGCTTTCGGGAGATTTGTGTTTTTTAATTTTGGGGGTTTTGTTTAGGATTGAGTTAAGAGGCGTGAATTAAATGTTTGATTCTAGGGAAAGTTGAATGAAAGTGTTTCTGTATTTTTTTTTTTCTGATTTTTGATTGATTGATGTTGATGTGTTGCATTTTTTAAGGATATTGCGGCAGCGGATCTTGCACCAACACATCCAATAAGGCTGGGGTTGGCACTTAATTTCTCTGTGTTCTACTATGAGATTCTCAATCAGTCTGACAAAGCCTGCAGCATGGCGAAACAGGTATGCTATTTAGAGTGCAGTTTTGTTAAAAATTCCCATATTCTCACACCTCTGATAATAATTATGTCTGAACTTGTGAATAAAATATCAGAATTCCAATGTTTTCTTGTGCTAGTGAATTTGAGTTACGGGCTTTTTTTTTTTTTTTAGGGTTTTGGGGGTAAGTGATGTCTTCATGTTGTTTGTTGCTTAGCATTTGTTACTGAGCAAGAAAAAACGAACTGGAACTTCTGAATGGGGAAATGCTTATATGAGAGCGTTCATTGATGCCTAGATGAACATAAACATACAGGACTCTCATGAAGCTCTCAAGTAGTTTCAACTGCTCAAGCTTTATGATGTTGTGTTGTGCATGGTATTTGCACTCGCTCATGTACACACATGGAATTTAACAATCAGTTCCTTCAGTGTTCCTGACATTTCTTCATCACCGATGCGTGATTCAATGTTTGGTTTTAGTAAGGTCCTTTTTGCCTTTTGGTATCTGCTAACCAGAGATCGCTACAAAGTTTTATATTCTTGGTATCCATGGTTAAATGTTAGAAATTTTTTTGACTTTTGTCTTACCAACTTTTTGTGCAGGCATTTGAGGAAGCTATTGCTGAGCTAGACACTCTAGGAGAAGAATCATACAAGGACAGCACTCTAATCATGCAACTCCTAAGGGATAACCTCACTCTTTGGACTTCAGATGTCCAGGTTGGTGCTTCCCTCCCTCTCTCTCTCTCTCTCTCTGAGCTTGTAGTCAGTATTACTTCAATGAAGGTTCTCTGTATTATTAGAGAACCTGGATGATCAAGATCTAACGCTGGTTATTGTTTTTCTTCAGGACCAGTTAGATGAGCCATAGAAGGCATCATGAACTCGATCTGTCCTAGTCTTCTGCCGGAGGAGGTGGGCATTGAATGTCATCCATTTGTCCTGATTACAAGTGTGTTAATTTAAGAAAATTGGGCGTCACCCTTTTGACATGATGGTTTTTTTTATTTAGACTAAACTTGCTTTTGAATTTCAAGTGCTTTGGAAAAGGGTAGCATTTGATATGGGTATATTTTAATGCTGTGGTTCTTGTTAATATCACTATTTCTCCCATATAAACTGTACATGGAAGGTTTACATGTTCAGGTGATGGAAAATGTGTAACTAAGTGCCCAATGCCTATTTTTGGAGAAATCTACCCTGTGTTTTCAATATCTTAAACCCAAATATAGGTGCAAACAAAGCTGCCGTGCCTGTACCAGCTGCCCTTTCAGAGCCAGCCTCGCTGTTTGTTTCTGCAGCAGAGCTGTTTTGTATGCATATATGGATTTAGCTTCCGTGGTTTCTGTTAAGAAACTCATCTAAAGCTGATAAAGGTTAATGGTCAGTGGTCCTTGTGAATGGTGTTCTGAAATGATTATTGTTATTGTCGTTGAAAGCTCCAGACCAAAAGGGGGGCTGGAATTGTGGCTGCCGATGAAATGAATGAGACCTCGTTATGACCCATAACCATAGAATCAGAGAACCCGACTTCATTTTATATCTCTTTCCCTCGTATTTCTATACACTCAACGCAACGACGCTTTTCGTACTCTGTTGCCAAACAAGGTCGGCTTTGGGTGGAATCGAATAACGTGGGAGTCTCACAGAAGGCTACATGATCCATGTCGCCGAAGTGATGCTTTTAACCATTATTGGATCTTTTGCATCCAAATCAACGAGAAAAAGAAAGTGGTTGCATTCCAAAAATTGTTTTCAAAATCTGTTTAAAAGTAAAAGCCCCAAATTACAAAATGAAAACCATCACAACTACAACTGACAGACAGCAAACACCACTGCCATACCAAACGGATCCTTAAATTTATTTCATTCCAAATGTTAAGAGAACAGCGCAGCAGCAGGATCCAAAATCCTCTCTCAACAACGAAAGGAAAAGGACGTTATGGTGTGGACATACCGATGTCCTTTCTCGGCGGTTCCAACTATAGGCGATTTTCTATTAATAATAATGTTACTACTACCGAATCAGATAACACCTAAAGCACATGCAAATAATGTCCCATATGGAGGGCCCAGCTAATGACTACCAAACATGCTCAAGGGCGGCACAGTACACCCTAATGTAGAAAACAACTTAAATAAACCAGCAAACAAGGAAAGCTTAATTTAACAGGCAAACCACCGATAAAGTGCACAACTGCATGCAAACCATACTTGCAAAGTTGCTGACACGACAATCTAACCATTTATACATAACAAGAGGTCCCAAATCCTACAGCCAAATACTAGGACATTATGCAACCACTGATGGGTTGAAAGAGAACATCAACACGTCCAAAACCTAATTGGTGACGCTAACCAGTCCAAGGAGCACTGAGATTTTACATGCTCAGATTCTACACTCGACGAGTCAGTCCCTTGTGCTGTCTTTGAGCCATTTTAAGTACGGAATGCTGCCTCCAGTTATGGGCAAGGAGATTACTTCTGGTACCCTGAGCAAAAGAACAGAATAAAAAGCAGAGTAAATCTCACTAAAAGCTGTGTGCGTGTGTGTTTTGCTTCATTTGTTTCCATCATCCAACATTATGTTCTTCTCGAGCCTTTAAGCAAAAGCCAGTATATGTGGATCCTAACAGACATGGTGGCAACATTCCAAGTAGAGAAAGTTCAATCTTCTTGTCCACTCATTAAACTGAATTACCAAGTCTTCTGTGTGTTTTTCTTAACATCTTTAGCTTGCAACAAAATTTTTTTATAGAAAATTTGTTTCTATATTATGTAATTGTTATGGAAAATTTAGGCTTACTCATATTCATGGTTTGCTTTGATGTGCTCTGTCAGTGCTTCCAGCAGGGATTGCCTAGTCTTGATTATCAACAGTTCCTCAGCATCTGACTGGATCTACAGTCGAAAAAAAGCAGCTTTAAACTTACATAAGGGCTTCGATGCCCAAAAGATCATACAAGCAATCTACACAGAGCAAAAGTTAATGCATTAAAGAAGCATGCATATATTCCTTTCTTCAAGGGGGAAATGATTTATACCTCTCCCTGCCATTGATACACTGATTCAATACCTATATCCATGAAACATATTGATTTCATCAGAAATTAATTTCATAAAGCTGTAAATCATCAAATTTGTAAAATGCAAGGCAATGTGATGCATTAGAAAGAGAAAGCAGGACTTAATGAATAACTAGGGCATTCCTGAAAACTACATGATTAGTGAAATTTATCAAAAGGCCATATAATATCTACACTGAGGTGAGTCGCCACCTAAAATCAAAGCAAAAGAACATAACATAGGCAACTGTCAAAGGATATGTGCATATGCAAAAACCACTATGCTTGGATAATTAGCTGTTACTGGGAAAAAGAAAAAGGTTTGGAAAACTATGGTTGTGTTTACTTTCAAAAAATTGTTTTGCATTTTCCATCTTTAGTTTTCTTTTTATTCTAAAAGATTTTTCCATGAAAAGTTAAGAAAACATGTTTATTGAAAACAACTTCTCCAAAATGGAAACAGAGGCCTGGTTTGACTTACACTTAAAATAAAGAAAGGAGTGAACCCAAACAATACCTTTGTTTTTTACAATGGAAAACTTGGCAAACAACTTTTTGGCGTTTTTAAAGAAATGGAGAAATATAAATAACACATTTCCAAATAAGCGCATTTTCTATATCCTAGAAAATTTTTCTAGAAAACTAGAAAATTCTCCCAATTAAAGAGAACCTAATTTCCTCTAGAATATATCACAATGAAAAGACAGAAAAAATCATTGTTGTCATTGTGCAACAGGAAGGTACATCGAATATTGGAAGTGTCATAGATGATATGATCAATCCCCTGGTACTTTCCTCTTTATTTGCAGAGCAGCTGCAAGGTTTCCCTTTATTTCAGAGAGAGGGAGGGGAGATGGGTGACTGAGGTGTGGTGGTGCAGGGATGAGTCTCAGGAACAGAAAGGTACCGGGTGAGAGTATATGGGTGGCAAGGTATTGGGCAGGATGAAGGTAGGGAAAATCTGCTAACAAACCATCCTGTTGCAATGTTGCAATCCTGGTGAGGAGCTGATATTACAGTTTATTTTGGGCACGCTAAATTTTTCAAAACATATCAGCTTGTCCGAAATGGAAACATAGCTATCCACTTAACCAATAGACTATGAAGAGGATACAAAACCTTTACTAAAAAGTAAACAACCAATCATATTTTGCTGGCTAAAACGAGAACAAAGATGCACAGCAAATAAGAAGAGAGGGGCAAATACCAGGTACTATGTTTACACATGCTGCCAGTTTCTCTTTGACTATGCTGTTGGCCAACTTCTTTCCTGTTGAGAATTACACATTAGCAAATCAAGCATGTTTTTCTTTCAAAATTAAATAGAGCTAAAAAATCACGAGTCGCGACTTAAGAGATAGAAGCAACTTTCTGCCATATTGTGAAAATATTAAAAAAAAAGACAACAACAAAAAAAACTGCAAAAACCACGAAGTAACAGAAAACAGCTAAAATATAGAAAATAGAAAACGACTTACTTAAGGAAATGAAGAGAATTAAAAAAAAATACCAATAAACAAAGTTTGTATAATTATGCGGGCAACAAATTCTCAATTAGTTATTAAGTAATAAGGAGGATAACGCTTGATTTAAATCAGAATTAAGCATTTAATTAATCCTTTAAACCCTCATAACAGAAAAAAGCAATTAATAGACAGCAAAAAAAAAAATAAAGACAAAAACCTGCTTCTCTGTTAGGGACAGTAACATAAACAACAATACTTGATACGGTGTCGGAATTTCCTTCCATTCCGATATTACTAGCTTGTGTTGCTGCTGCTTGGCTACCAAACTTTGATCTAATCCCAAAAATTCCAAAGAAATTCAATGCCTTTAGTACAAATTAATTAAATCAAATTAAAAGTAATATAATCAAGGCACGAAAGAAGGAGAAAATGATAGGCTTTTTACCTTAAGAGAGGAATAAATGGGAGAGACTGAGCGCTACCCGTTTTGAGAGAAGAAGAGATAGCTGGGGATAGATTAGAGAGGCCTAAGCTTAACATGCAAAACGCCCCGACTAGGGGCAAACGCCGTCGTATTGTTGTTGAAGAGAGGATAGACGGAGCTCTTGAAAAGACAGTGGAAGCCATCTCTACTTATAGTATCTTGTAAAAGAGTCCATATGACGCATTGCTTGGTCTTGAGTTTAGTTTTAGTTTGGTATACTCTCACCGTCTGACAAGGAAAGGTTTTGTTCCAGAACTTACTGATTCTGCCACGTATGGATTAGGAAACGGTTTTAATTCAATCTAACGGTTGATAAGGTCTTGTTTTGGCATTGAAATCAACAACCCAATCACAAACTTGGTCCTCTTGTGTTTTCGCGTGGAGCTACATGTCGTCCAGAATCGTTTAGATAAGGAGCCGGCATGCATGAAAGACTTCAAATCATGGGAATTGTGAAACTGGAGATGTACCGTAGAGACCATTTTTGATGAAATTAGAGTTGAAAATTCTATGGGAATTTGGAGAAAAGGGTTGCTTCCATTTTTCACAATGGATGATTGTTGATTAGCAGAAATCTTTGGTATATTTCATACAGATATCTAGGAATTGAAGGTGATGATTTCATCAAGTTCACAAAGGTACAAAATTTTCACGTTCATTCGTAGTAAGCTCATCAAGCAGTTCAAATGCAAACAAAAGCTTTCTCTCTCTGCATACAAATTCAATTAAAAGAGCCCAAGAATCATGATCTGGTTTGAATCCCATCTCTGCCAATCCAAACAATGCCACAACTGCATCATCTGCCATTCCAGCTTTACAAAGGAGAACTAACAACTCATTTGAAGTTTCATAATGTGGTAAAAAGCCTCTACTAAGTGTCAAACCCAAAAGCTCAATGGCCTTGTCCAAGTCACCTTTTTGGCACAAGGAATTCAATACAATCCTGTAACTCTGTTTGTTTAGACGAATACCTTCGTTAGAGAGTTTGTTAAGCATCCCAAGAGCCTCTTCGGTCCTACCTTCTCCACACAATCCTCTAAGTAACACCTTAACAGTTACAATGTCAGCTTTGCACTTTTTATCATTCATCTCTTTGAGCAACTCCATGGCCTCATCAATTCTACCAAACCTACAGAAGTAATTTATCAATGTAGTATAGCCAACCGTATCTTGTTTCAAACCAAAGTTCTTCATCTCTTCAAAAGTATCCATAGCCTCCTTTATTCTTCCCTCTTTGCAAAATCCATTTATGAGGGCCGAGTAATTAAATACATTTGGGCTGCATCCATTACTCTTCATAAACTCGATTATCTTCTTTGCCCGGTCAACTTTTCCCCAACGGGAAAAACCATTAATTAGAACATTATAAGTAAGGGCATCAGGCAAGATTTGATCCTTTGACACCATCTCCTCGAACAATTCAATTGCATCTTTTAACCTTCCGCTTTCACAGAGACCATCCATCAGAGTTGAGTAGGTAATCAAATTAGGATAAGAAATACTAGACTTCTTCATCTCCTTCACCACTTCAAAAGCGGATTCAAGATCCCCACTTTTACAATGATGCTTAATAAAGATATTGAAAATGCAGGTATTTGGCTTCAGCATATGACAATTCTTCAAATCCAATAAGAAACTCCGCAAGAAATCAACCTGCTTCGATTCAACCAGAAGGTTGAGACACGTACTGAGGGCTTTAAGCGATGGCTTTTCTCGAACAACTGGCTGAATTTTATTAAACATCTCGACCACTCTTCCATACTCGGATGACTTAGCAAAATACTTCATGAGATTAAGGAATACACTCTCATGAAACTTGCAGGTTTCATACATCATTTGCCGAAGAAGAGCATCAACAGCCTGAAACTTCTTAGCTCGAGCAAGCTTATCGAGTATAGTTGAATAGGTAGCATGATTATGATTGAAACCCTTCTGCTCCACTACCATGTTAAATATTTCTAAGGCATGCTGAGGATCCCTCTCGTGTTTGATCAAATTTATGGCTGTCTCGTGAGAAATGAATTTGGGTTTCCTTCGTCGTTCCAAAAGGGTTTCGGGTGGGGGGTCCAATTTTGGTTTTAAGAAATGAAGAGGAGAGATCCATGGAAGCGAGGAGAACGAGCGATGCTGGTGGCAAATAATACCTTTCACGGAATTCATCAAAACCACTGCTTCACTTTTTATAGAACTTCATAATCTGGAAAAATACGAACATTTGTTACCCTTTCGTAATATATATATATAAAAAAAGCTAAACAGTTTTTAAGCCAGTTTAATCACTAATTACATTCAAAATCGTCATTCAGTACAATTTTTTATAGCAATCTAAGTCATTAAAACAGCAATAGCAACAATGATTGTGTCGAAAACTAGATAAAAACACTGTTAAGGTTGTTGTTAGTCTCTAGATTAATGGACCTATAGCTAAGGATCTAGCAAACTCTTATCAAGAAAAGGCCGTATAGAGGATTAAAAATTTTAAGCACGTAAAGTTAAATTGCTGAATCTTCATGAAAAAATTTCGATTAGAGGGAAAGAAAGAAAAACTAACCTGTTTGCACCATGGGGGTCAAGGTGAGAGAGACTGCGCAAAACCCGTTTGAAGTAGCGAGGGCGGGGGGCGGAAGTGGAAGAACCAGACAAAGAGTCGAGTCCGGTTGGGGCGTCAGTGAAGTAGGCGAGGAACGGGCTGTTCTGTAGGATGTTGGCCCGTTAAGTTTCCTTGAGAAAGGCAGATATTAGAGTATAGAACAACTAGTGGATCTAGGATTCATTGCAGACCAAGCTCTACTTTTGGGCTATCAAAACTGTCCTGGGCTTTCAATAGGTAGTTATTTTGAGAAAGAAGTTTAACGATGATATTTTTGCCTCGCAAGAGCCAGTGGATCTAGGGTAATTTTTTAAAAGAGGAAACAATTTTTTTTTTTTTTTTTATGACTTAGCCTACATGTTGTGTTTAAATATTTTATCAAGTGAAACAAAGATAGTGGAAATAATAAATAAAAATCATATCAAGAGCAAGTGGATCTAGCGGATATATATATATATATATATATATATATATTGAAAATGAGTGAGTTTTCACTATTTAGATATGCTAAAGAAGATTTTTTTTTTTGTAAAATAAATATTTTTTATTGATAATCTTTGAATGCTGATAATAATATAAAAAAAAAATGATGTTAGTGATAAAGGTGGTAGTGGTGGCATCAGTTGTGATGATAGTATTGGTGATGATGGTGATGGTGACTATAATCTTAGTACGGGAGTGTTAGCAATATTATTTCTAACACTCTCTTTTAAACACTTCCTTAATAAAAATGCTTACGTCAAATCTTTTTTTATATAATTTTATAGGTAAATAAATAAACAAGGGGTATTTCAATCTTTTACGTAATATGAGATTGATTATAATTTAAAAACTTCCTAATAACATGGAGCATCGCTTACCTTCTATTGATTATTATTTGACGTTGACACTTTTATTGAACAAGTGTTTAGAGGAGAGTGTTAAAGAGAGTGTCGATAGTCTTCTCTCTTGGTATTTATTATAATAGTTGTTATATTATTAGTTGTGGTGGTTGCATAATGATGGTTGTTGTGGTAGTAGTATTTGTGGCAACGATGATAAAATGATGGTTACAATGGTAGTTATTTTAATAACAAGATGGTGATGGTGGTGGTGGTGGCATGATGACTAGAAGTTGTAATGTCATTGTGGTTGGCATTAGAGTGACGATAATGGTAATGAAAATAGTGGTGAGGTGGTGATTACATTGATAATCAATTAGTGATAGTTAGTGGTATTGGTGATAAGGTGGTAGCGATGGTGTTGGAGGACTATGGTGAGATGATGATAAAATTACGGTTACATTTCCAACCCATTCTCTTTTTCGATAGGATATTTTCTCTCACACTTGTCTAAAACTTGAGAATGCATGATTCTCGTCTCTTTTCCAATCATCAAATAGACTCTTTTTCCGTAGCTACTATCTTGTACATTCTATTCTTAGCCACTCTTCATGGTTATTATCTTTTATAAACCATCATATTTATTTTTCTTTTCATTAGGATTGTGTTACCATTTGTGACTTTTAAGACTCCATTTGTAGTGAAATAACCGTATCTTTTAAAGTCTAACTAACTCGACAATATTAGGTTCCTACGCATCTTTAGAACATAAGCCACACTACCAAAAGAATGGACCACTCCGTCAAATATTTTAATTTTTGTTATTCTAAGACTCATAACATCACAAAAAGATACACCATCTAAGGACATGTTGCCAATCTTTTCTTTTTGGAACTCATAAAGATATTCATTTTTGAAACACACACGTAATACGCTTGTAGAATTTAATATTCAACTATAATGAGAAAAAAATGTTAATAACTTCGAATATTGATGACATCTCCATAATCTTCTACCGCCATAAAAAAATTTCCACCATCATCGATTTATCTAAACCTTTTATTTTTAGGACAATCTCGCTCGATGTAATAAAATCTTTTGCACAAATAATATTGAATGCCTTTTTAAAACTTGGACTTAGACCTTCGACTCGAAATCTCATTTTAATTGATCTTTCTTTTTTGACGCTCCATTTTAGTCACTTGTGAAGAGTTATATTTTTTTTATTTGACTTTCTCTTCGTCTCACTAGATAAAAATATAGCTTGTACTTGATCTAAATTCACTATATGTTTACCATACAAAAGCATTATAATTAGATTTTCAAACAAATTATGAAGAGAAGGAAGAAGCAAAAGAGTTTTGTCTTATTCTTCTTCAATTTGGACATCAATTTTTTATTTTATTTTATTTTATTTTATTGTATTTGATCTAGTATATCAATGAACACATTCAAGTATTTAATGAGATTTCGCTTTTTTGCATTTTGAGTTTGTAAAGTTATCGTTTTAAATATAATTTGTTGGTTAAGCTCTTCATCCATAACATTATTGACAATGTTATGAGTAAGACAAAGTCGAATTGTGCTCGCACACTTTGATTTCAACTGCTCTCACTCATGCTCCTCCATGTCTTTTGCCTTTCCATCCTTTTCCTTCAATGCTCTAGCCAAACCCTCTTAAATAAAGATGTCTTTCACCTTTGTTGGCCAAAGAGTTAAACTTCATTTCTATTAAATTATTCCACGGTAAATTGAAATTTACGTTGTGCGAGCATTGTTCTTTATGAAAAGACAAATCTCTTAAAACCAAAGCTCTAGTACTAATTTGTTGGGAAATTAAGAATTGAAGATCCAACACACTACCACCACGACTAAGCTAATTTAACTAGAAGAAAAATAACAAGATGAATAAAGAGTATACACAAAAAGATTTGATAAGGTTCGATAAAATTTTGTCTACTTTGCAAACTTGATAGTAATTCTTTATTACGAAAGAAAATTAGTGTAAGAATATAATTGTGATTTTATATTCAAAATTCAATTTCAAACCCTTTTGTACATCTACTTTCACACTCAAAGAAAATCTCTCAATCCTTGTGTTTTTACATACAAAAATAGCACATCTTCTCATCTATTTATAGTTGTCAAAATTCTTGGTAAACAAAGATTTCTTATCTAGGTAAACAAGAAATCCTTATTTATTACTCGATTCTATTTACTTGACTATTACTCTAAAAAAATATGAGTCATAAATCAATAAAGATACAAGAGAAAAGACATCTAAAATTGATTTTAAATATTAAAAAAAAAAAACTTAATGCTGACAGAGCACATGAAGTTATATATATATATATATATATAATTAAGAGAGTATATTAATTTGAAATTTGGAAGTACGATAGATTGATTAACAAGAGTTACTTCCTATTTAAACACCCTAAATTATGTTGGTTTTCACCTCTCTCTCTCTCTCTCTTCTTTTTTCTTTTCTCTGTTTTAGTTACAGCAGCCAGCTGTGAATATATCACGAGCCAAGAACATCTCGGAATGAAAGGGAGATATTAATTCTATATATATATTGAAATAAATGAAGAAATTAATAAATATTAGCAAGCAGTGAAACAAAGTAGGGCAGTGAGCACCAACAACCACAAATAGGTGTCTAGTAGAAACAGACAATGGCAACTGGCAAGGCATGCTTACCGAAGTAGAGGGATTTGACATATTGTCATAAGATGGAATTAATTGTTCTATTAAGCTCAAAACCTTTGTGCCAGGTTGGTTGCCATGACGTTTTCTTCAGTGGCATTTTGCAACCTATGCGAAGGAGTGCCTTTGACTAAATAATTAATCATGAATTCAGGTTCATAAATTAAATAGCAATCTAATAGAGACAAGAGTGACTTAAATTCGGATTATACAACTGCTTCCCTCTTACTTCCGTATGGCCAAGCATCTGGTCCTTAGCTCTCTAACTTGCAGAATCCAAAAGTATAACCAAAATGGGTTTTTTAAAGACACCGAGAACTTTGATGAAGACATAGCTTAAGCCAAGATAGGTGACTTTGCCACCTCAACTCGATTCGAGGTTTATCGCATTCCCTAAATATTATAATGTTAATCCGTAATGAGGGGACCAATTAATATTACAGACAACTGGAAATTAAAATAACAGAATAGGCACCAGAAGACGGGGACGTGTGGACCCGATAACATCCCACGTGGAATTTTTTTTTCTTTTACCCAGAGTTGGTGTCTAATGGTGTAGACACAGGAGATAAGGCGGATGTTCGGGATGCTTTGATGGCGGACCACGGTGCTGTAAGGAGGTGCACATGCCTAGATGACCAAATGTTACAAACTCAATGCAGAGAGTCTCTTTTATATCCTTTTAATATGTCCAAAGTCTTTCTTTTCTTTTCTTTCCTTTTCAATTCTTTGGGTGTGTGGTTTTGTTGCTGATAAACTCTTTCTTGATATTGAAGTACAGAAAGGTGTTAAAATATTGAAGTGGTGTATCTCAAGATTGAAGAATCTTTTTTAAGTTTGATTCTGAAACTATCTGTTGAAAGAGTTGATCACGCCTAGTACTGCTTTACTTAGGTTTATCAATGCCATGAGTATACATTACGGAATATGAATTGACTGATTCCTAATGTGAATTTAATCCTGTATATAATTAATATATAGTATAGAATACTTGGCTATATCAAAACCATTTTAATAGTACTAATAGTACTCCTGTTGGA